GTTACTGTATATTACACATGGTTTGAAATTTAGCAGCATACCAGTGAAGAGTTTGTGCTGCTTGTTGCTTGGGAACTACCAGAGTCTTAACTTATGAAGAGACAGTTTCTAACGAAAGTATACAATGAGAAAACCAAATATGCAGAATTACTTCCAAAATTCTGTTAATTGATACTAAACGTACAAGATTTATTGCCAATTTAAGTGCCTTGGTGAAGTCTACTGCACCATCTCTAAATAAGGTCAACCTGGCCAGTTTTCCATTAGAAGTGAGTGCTGTTCTTTAGTTAACACCAAATGCTCATCAAGATGACATTTTATATTTAAAAAAAAACAAAAAAAACAAAAAAAACAACTATTTCAAACATTAGACCAAACACTTTTGATAAGATGTACACACAGTGAGATGTAACTGGCAATTGAGTCCAACAAAACAAAACCAGCAGCAAAATTATCCCTGGGGATTTGCTTATTAAGTGGATTATGGGTGGAATAACTAGTACTATTTAAATTATAATATTTCTTTCTCTCTGTGAGCAGAGTTCACATTAGTCCAGTAGTGGGCACATGTTACGTGATACATTCTTTCTCCTTGAGAAGCTTGCAGCCTAATTAGAGAGTCAAGACAGGAATGTGTGATTTAAAAAAAGAAGAAGAAGAATTGAGAAGGACAGGGCAACATATTCTGATTTTTAAACTGGTTGTAGTTATAAATAACATGATTGAAAGTCTTTTCCAAGATCTTTGAACTTTTTATGGAATTTCTTTTTAATAGAGTTAAATATGAAACTAAATATACATAGCTACTTGATCAGCATGCCCATTTTCTGGGAAACATCCTGAGAAGGATGACCTAAAGGAACAGAGGTCTGTGTTTTCAATGGGGGACATATAATGTTCACAAAAGCTTGTAGGTTTGTTCTCTTGGTTTTGTTATTGCTTTGGCTTCATAGGAGATTGGGTATATGAGAAGTATGTGTTGTGAAACTCAGAATGATTGTAAATGGTAAATAATAATTCTGCAGAAATGCCGATCATTTAAATTTATAAGGTAGGGTTATAATAACTATAGGTTAACTCACTGGTGATGGCAGGATAGTCCCAAAAATTTCAGCCATATGTATTGTGAACCACAGAAATGTTTATATTGGAAAATAGGGTAGGAAATTTAACATATCTTGAGACTCTAATATGTGCCCAGTACTACGATATATATTTCACAGAGTTTTCTTATTCGGTCTTAGCAACAAGCCAAAAGATAGGCACTAGTATCCTCATATTACAGATAAGGAAACAATTCCAGCAAGTAAGTAAATTGGCCAGCTCACACATATAAGAAAACACCTCTAAATGACTACACATTCTGTACTCTTGCCGGGCGCGATGGCTCACGCCTGTAATCCCAGCACTTTGGGAGGCTGAGGTGTGCGGATCATGAGGTCAGGAGATCGAGACCATCCTGGCTAAATGGTGAAACCCCGTCTCTACTAAAAATACAAAAAAATAACCTGGGCGTGGTGGCGGGCGCCTGTAGTCCCAGCTGCTGGGGAGACTGAGGCAGGAGAATGGCGTGAACCCAGGAGGCAGAGCTTGCAGTGAGCCGAGATCGCACCACTGCACTCCAGCCTGGGTAACAGAGTGAGACTCCATCTCAAAAATAAATAAATAAATAAATAAGAACAGATTCCCTACTCTTCCGACAGTTGTACTGCCCCAGTGGATATATCATGCTTTCTACTTATGTGCCTTGTGCAGGAGAACACCTCTTTTTAAAACCAGCAGATCTTCCAGGCTTGTTCACTGTCACGAGAACAGCACAGGAAAGACCCACCCCCATAATTCAATCACCTCCCACCAAGTTCCTTCCATGACACATGGGAACTGTGGCAGTTAAAATTCAAGATGAGATTTGGGTGGGGACACAACCAAACCATATCATGTCACCCCGGCCCCTCCCAAATGTCATGTCCTCACATTTTAAAACCTATCATGCCTTCGTAAGAGTTCCCCAAAGTCTTAATTCATTTCAGTATTAACTCAGAAGTCCACAGTCCAGTGTCTCATCTGAGACAAGGCAAGTCCCTTCCACCTATGAGCCTGTAAAATCAAAAGCAAGTTAGGTACTTCCTAGATACAATGTGGGTACAGGCATTGGGTAAATACAGCCATTGCAAATGGGAGACATTGGCCAAAGCAAAGGGGCTACACACCCCATGCAAGTCTGAAATCCAGTGAGGCAGGTCAAATGTTAAAGCTCCAAAATGATTTTGAAGCTCCAAAATTATCTCCTTTGACTCACATCCAAGTCATGCTGATGCAAGAGGTGTGTTCCCATGGTCTTGGGCAGCTCCACCCCTGTGGCTTTGCAGGGTATCACCTCCCTCCCAGCTGCTTTCATGGCTGGCATTGAGTGTCTGCAGCTTTTCCAGGAGCACAGTGCAAGCTGTCAGTGGATCTACTGTTCTGGGATCTGGAGGATGGTGGCCCTCTTCTCCCAGCTCCACCAGGCAGTGCCCCAGTAGGGACTCTGCGTTGGGCTCCAACCCCACATTTCCCTTCCGTGCCACCCTACCATAGGTTCTCCTTGAGAGCCCCACTCCTGCAGCAAAATTCTGCCTGGACATCCAGGTGTTTCCATAAATCCCCTGAAATCTAAGTGGAGGTTCCCAAACTCAATTATTGACTTCTGTGCACTTGCACGCTCAACACCACATGGAAGCTGCCAAGGCTTGGGGCTTGCACCCTCTGAAGCCACAGCCCAAGCTCTGTGTTGGCCCCTTTCAGCCACAGCTGGGGTAGCTGGGAGGCAGGGCACCAAGTCCCTAGACTGCACACAGCAGAGGGACCCTGAGCCCAGCCCATGAAACCATTTTTTTCTCCTAGGTCTCAGGGCCTATGATGGGAGGAGCCCCATGAAGACCTGTGGCATGCCCTGGAGACATTCTCCCCATAGTGTCTTGGAGATTAACATTTGACTCTTTGTTACTTATGCAAATTTCTGCAGCTGGTTCGAATTTCGCCTCAGAAAACGGGATTTTCTTTTTTATCACATTGTCAGGCTGCAAATTTGCCAAACTTTTATGCTCTGCTTCCCTTATAAAACTGAATGCCTTTAGGCCGGGTGCAGTGGCTCAGGCCTGTAATCCCAGCACTTTAGGAGGCCAAGGCAGACGGATCACGAGGTCAGGAGATCCAGAGCATCCTGGCTAACCCGGTGAAACCCCGTCTCTACTAAAAATACAAAAAATTAGCCAGGCGTGGTGGCGGGCACCTGTAGTCCCAGCTACTCGGGAGGCTGAGGCAGGAGAATGATGTGAACCCGGGAGGTGGAACTTACAGTGAGCCGAGATCGTGCCACCACACTCCAGCCTGGGTGACAGAGCGAGACTCCATCTCACAGTCTTGGAAGCTTGAGGTCTGAAATCAGGTGTCAGCAGTGCTATGCCCCCTCTGAAACTCATAGGCAAATTCTTCCTTGCTTATTAGCTTATGGAGATTGACCAGCATGAGCAGTCTTTGGTGTACCTTGGTTTGGCTCTTCAGATGGCCATCTTCTGAGGAACCAGTTAAGTTGGATTGGGGCCCATCCAACTCCAGTATGACCTTATCTTAACTTACATCTGTAATGACTCTATTTTCAAATAAGATCACATTCTGAAGTCCTACTGGTAAGGACACCAACATTTCTTTTTGAGGGAGGATATGCTTCAACCCGTAACACCTTCCATGTTCCATCCATATCAGTACATCTTCCTTCTTAACAAAAGAAACAAAGGATGTTTTAAATTCATAATATTATCCCTGCCAAATCAGTGGTAGTGAGCAAGGAGATTGTGATGTATTCACTAAGAGGGCTGTTACCCCTTCCGTATTACAGATTGAGTATCCCTAATCCAAAATCCAGAATACTTCAAAATTTGAAATTTTTTGAGCAGTAACATAATGTTCAAAGGAAATGCTCATTAGATCATTTCAGATTTCAGATTTTTGGATTAGGGATATTTAACTGGTAAGTATATAATGCAAATATTCCAAAATAAGAAGAAATCTTAAATAATTCTGGTCCCAAGCATTTTGGATGAGGGACATTCCACTTGTACCTTATACCAATTCTTTTTTTCAAGTAGCTGTTTTACAGAAAGCCTTCAAGCACTCTTTAAAAAATCAGTATTACTGTAAACAGTTGTATCTTTATATTACAGTCCTCTATGGTATCAGAGACCTCCTAGAGCTTAATCTTTCCCCCTGTATAGCACAATAGTATTGTTTTAGTCAATTTTGTGCTTCTATAATACCACAAAATGAGTAATTTATAATGAACAGAAATTTATTGGCTCATGGGTATGGAGGCTGGGAATTCCAAGATTGAGAGGCTGGTATCTGGAGAGGGTCTTCACCATGTCATCCCATGGTGAAAGGCGGAAGAGCAAGAGAGGAAGCAGGGTGTTGCGTAGGAGGGGAGAAAGGAAGGGAAAGAAGCGGGAGAGAGAGACAGGGAGTCTGGGAGGGAGAGGGGAAAGTCTCACAAGATTATTTTATTTTTAGGTGGTGATGTTTTAAATTCTGATCTTAAGAAGAAATGCTGTTGGTCCTTAGGTCAAATTGACTATATAGATTATGTACTTTGATGTGATATGTGAAGACAGGAATTTCAGTGTCAAACACAAAAGAGCTATAAGGAATAAAGTTATTTTGAGCACGATGTAATGCTGTCTAATTACGAGTGGTATCCAGGTTTTCACTGGAAGATATGTAAGCAGCTACGAAAGCAATTTTAAGGCAAAATTTTACTTACACCATAAATATATTTCCCATAAAACAAATTAAAGGTAATTTTTAAAATTTCCTTAATTTTTGATTTGTAAAGAGGATAGGCCAGTAAATAATGTATCAAACTTGTGGCTTGGCACCATATTGAATCCCAGAAATGACTTGGCCTTATGAATGACTCTTTTCAAAAGGATTAATGAATGTATAATAAGTTTTCTTTCTTTTTCTAGCCAAGGACCCTTGTCATCCATTAGAGCGGTAATCAAGAGATGTAAGTTTGTTTTTTCCTTGTCTGTATTTTCCTCTGTAATAATTTTAAGTGATGATTTAGATTTCCAGCAGGTGATTGTATCTGACACATCTACAAAGAACCCAAGAGTAGCTTCTCCTAAGAAGTATTAAAGCGTTTCAGACAAACAGCTACTTTTCAGCTTGTATTTATTGATAAGCCAGTTTCTCAGAACTGTGTTTTTCTCTTACAGAACAAAGCTGGGTTTTTTTTTTTTTTTCTTAATCCCAAATGTGATAGTATAAATCTGTTTTGTTTTTTTTTTAAATTTGCCTATCTAGTTAGTTTCTGTGATCTAATATAAATTTTATGTAACTATTTTCTAGAGTTAGAGATATCTTACAGGTTTAAGAAATATTAAACCCTGGCCGGGTGCGGTGGTTCATGCCTGTAATCCCAGCACCTTTTTGGGGGCCAAGGCAGGTGGATCACCTGAGGTCAGGAGTTCAAGACCATCCCAACCAACATGGTGAAACCCTATCTACTAAAAATACAAAAATTAGCTGGATGTGGTGGCACATGCCTGTAATCCCAGCTACTCAGGAGGCTGAGGCAGGAGAATCACTTGAATCCAGGAGACGGAGGTTGCAGTGAGCCAGGATTGTGCCACTGCACTCACAGCCTGGGAAACAAGAGCGAAACTGTCTCAAAAAAAAAAAACAAAAAAGAGAAGAAAAGAAAAAAGAAATATTAATCCTTGTGGTTCATTTGTTTCTACAGGTACTCTTTACAATTTATTTTTTAACTGTATAAGTGCCTATAAAGGCGGGCTTATACTGCCACATCAAGATAGAAGTGCTAAGAGTAGAATTCCCATCAGAAAGGAACATTTCTATTTTCTGTCCTTATCTCTTGGTTAAACTTCAAAACTTGCTATTAGTGTGGTATTTTAACACTTTTTTAAGTAAAAGGCTCTGGAAAGGTCCCTTTAAAAATAGAACATGGATTGCCTGTGTTAGAAAAGGATAAAGATAGGATTTTAGATGTTCTTCACATTATGTGAACTGAGGTTACCGCCCTGAGGAGAATGTGCCCTATTTTTAGAAGCATAACTTGTTTTTTTTTTTCCTTCCCCCGAGACAGAGTCTCTCACTGTCGCCCAGGCTGGACTGCAGTGGCGCGATCTCGGCTCACTGCAACCTCCACCTCCTAGGCTCAAGCAATTCTCCTGCCTCAGCCTCTTGAGTAGCTGGAATTACAGGCACCCACCACCATGCCCAGCTAATTTTTGTATTTTTAGTAGAGATGGGGTTTCACCACATTGGTCAGGCTGGTCTCCTGACCTCAAGTGATTTGTCCGCCTTGACCTCCCAAAGTGCTAGGATTACAGGCGTGAGCCACCATGCCCGGTCCATAATTTGTAATATTTACTATGAATTTAGGATATTCACAGGTCATGAAGAACATGCATTTGAACAATTCCAGTGAAAATTTTACAAGGTGACAATACAGAAAAATATGCCATGTTTCCCCACTCCGTTTTTTTGCTTCATTGGTGAACTATAAATATGTGGGAATGCTATGGTATAGGATGAAAAGAATTCAGATATAAAAATGAAAAATTCTTGATAGCGTTTCATGCCTTCTAACCCTTGGGTTGGGGGTGGTAGGTGATGACGGGCAGAGAGATAATTTAAATACAAAATTAGAGTCTAGAACTTAGGTAAGAATTTATTGGCTGGAGATATAACTTAGAGTAATCACAGTTATAAGCAAAATCCTGGAAGTAGCCAAACATGTAGGGAGAAAGTACACAGGATAGGAAAGATGAGAAGGGATAGAATCTTGGAGACACTGACATCTGAGGACAAGCTATGCCTTCATGGGGCTTAAGGCAAAAATGCATGACCCAATGACCCCAGCCCTGCTGTGAAAGGCCCCCTTTCACTGAGTCATAGGGCTCCTGCCTTTGTTCCCTGGCTTCTTACCTTAACTCCCTTGGATTTCAGGACTTTTTTGTTAGGGAATCACAACCTGTGATTCCCATGGATCCCCGAAGATGGATCTCGCTTACCTAGAGACCCCTATGCTGTGCAAGGCGCAGCTAAGACATGAGCAGTAAAAGCTGAAAAGGGATGGTCAGAGTAAGTAAGTAAATAAATAAATAAATAGATAGATAAATAAATAACAAGAGACAGCTGTGTTTTAGAGGTCAAAGGCGATTTTAAAAGGAACAGGCGAATCACCAGTAGCTCTTAATACTACAGCCAGGCCAAGCAAAAGGTGCTGAGAACAGGTTCTTGTGTCTGGCGCTTAGGAGGTCAGTGCAGACCCATGAGAGAGCAGTTTCAGTAAATATTGAAGTTGGAAGCCACACTTCAGTTTCAACCATGAATAGAATATGTGGAAGTTGGGACGGCTAGGGTAGCCTACTCTTATGAAATTTGGTGGTGAACAGGAAAGATATGGGCTGTAGTTTGAGGAGGAGGCAGAATTAAAGAAAGACCATGCTTAGGATGAGGAAGCATGAAGACATTTGTAGGCAGCGGGGAAACAGTCAGTGGAGGGATCAGACTGGAACCATGAAAGAAGAGAAAACGATGAAACAGGGCCCTAGCAGAGAGAGGAAGGAGGATATGAAACAAAGGGAAAACCCTTGCTTTGAAGTAGCTGGTGTTTTTTGGTTTTTAACTCAGTTGTCTTTTAATTCTTCTGTCAGTCACTTTGTAAACACTAAAGTAAACTTGTATTCCTGATGTTTAGGCAGGAAGGCCAAACAGATCCTTTCATGATAACATATAAATACAGAATTGTGCCTTTCCCTTTTGTTTTCTTCTTTTTGCCTATTCTATAAGAAAAAGCTGTAAATAATTTTTATCTCAGCCAGCCCATTAAAATGTATATATTACTATCCCATACCTCAGTCATCTAACCCTGGCAAGCAGAAAGACTTTATCCCATTTCAAAGTGATATTCCTTAACTGGTTGTAGTTCAACTTATTTCATAATCATTCTGATTCCAGTCAAGCATTGGGGTCCTTTTCTTTGCATGTATTCTTATGAGTCCTGAATATTTTTGGTAAAGTGTTTTGATGTATCCTAATTGGATACATCTAGAATTTTACGTTCTTCCTTTCATTAACTTTTTAAGAGAAAATTATGTTCTGAAATTCAGACTTAGTTAATATTGCTTACCTACCATAAGTCAGGCACTGTTTCCATACATTATAGAATAGCACTCTGCATGGTAGGTGTTGACCCATTTTACATGTGTTAGTGAAACTGAGTCTCAGAAAGGTTAAGTGGCTTCACAAGGTAGAGCTGAGATATGAACCTGGCTTCCTGACTTCAAGGACATTCAGCTTTCCATTCCACAGACATTCTTGTTATCATGTCAAATATGTCTAACTCTCATACCCTGTCCCAAACAAATGTAGTCAGTAAGTTTCTTGTATTATTGTGATTTGCATTGATCTTTCATTCATAGTTCATTGATCATTCATTCATAGTTCTATGGCAAGGGTATGTATAATTAATAATCTTTCTATGTGTTTACTTCTTCTGACATCATTTAATTGATAATTTTGAATTATTTAGATCAAGACTAGCTAGCATCCCACTCTCCTAGCTCCACATAGAGTTAAACTGCTTCAAGAAACAAACCGCTCCTAGCCTTGCTCCTAAAGGGCTGTTGGACCTGGGATAATTCATTTAACTCCTCTGTATCTCAGTCTCCTCCTCTGTGAAGTTTGAGTAGGTCGATCGCTGAGGGCCTTTCCAGGCTTGAGATCCTGCTGGAATTCAAGAAGATTATTTATTGGTGATAATACTACACATCTACATCTCAACTCTAACATGAATATGTTTTGTATTTAGAATTTAACCACTTGAACTAGAAAAGTTTGACAATAGGCCGAGCACAGTGGCTCATACCTATAGTCCCAGCACTTTGGGAGGCTGAGGCGGGCGGATCACCTGAGGTCAGGAATTTGAGACCAGCCTGGCCAACATGGTGAAACCCCATCTCTACTAAAAATGCAAAAATTAACCCAGCGCGGTAGTGGACACCTGTAATCCCAGCTACTAGGGAGGATGAGGCAGGAGAATCGCTTGAATCTGGAAGGCGGAGGTTCCAGTGAGCCGAGGTCGCGCCACTGCACTCTAGTGTGGGCGACAGAGTGAGACCCCGTTTCAAAAAAAAAAAAGAAAGAAGAGTTTGAAAATAATTCTGTGAAATGATAGGATAACTTTTACTGAAAATACTGCCTTTATTCTGTGGCATTAACCCAAAACGTACAAGACTAGCAGCTTATGGCAGAAAGGTAAAATGGGACATGCTTGTCTAAATGGGCACTCTGGCAAATTCGATTTTCCTGGCAACTACAACAAATTTGTTTAATCTGGGGAAGTGAAAATGAGATATGTAACCGGATAGTTGAGAAATTAGCAGAAAGAGCATAAGACAACACATGAAAATCTGCGGTAAAAACCGAAAGTGTTTATAGCTATTAATCTTGTTCAGCACTGACAGAAGGTGTCAGTTTTTCCAGAAGGATCAAGAGAGAAAAGAAAGATTTCATAGATGAGTGAGTGTGAAAAAAAATCAGAGGAGAGGGGAAAGCAGTGATTCTCAAAGGATGTGCCGAAGGAGATGTGTAAGCACGACTGCAAGACCCCTCTGTGTTCTGCAGCAGCAGTGCCACTCTGCTGCCAGGGGGCCTGCTACGAATGACCTCTGGTGTGAACCAGCAGAATCAAGTTAAAGTTGCTGATTTGAAACAATGTAAATCGACTACTGAATTACCTTTTAAGTACTATTCATACTTTAAAATCAATCCTTATTGAAGTAGCAAACTGATTTTGCAAAATAGTTTTTAGATTTTTTAAAACTGTTGTTAAAAACTGCAGAGAGGCCAGGCACAGTGGCTCATGCCTGTAATCCTAGCACTTTAGGAGGCCAAGGTGGGTGGTCACGTGAGGTCAGGAAGTCAAGACCAGCCTGGACAACATAGCAAAACCCCGTTTCTACAAAAAATACAAAAAGTAGCCAGGTGTAGTGGTGCATGCCTGTAGTCCCAGCTACTTAGGGGGACTGAGGAAGGAAGATTGCTTGAGCCAGGGAAGTAGAGGCTGCAATGAGCCAATATTGCACCACTGCACTCCAGCCTGGGTGACAGAGCGAGACCTTGTCTCAAAAAAAAAAAAAAAAAAAAAAAAAACCTACCAGCGGGTTTTTCGACTGATTATGTGTGTGGATATCCTGGTCTGCACAGACAAATCTTTGCAGCAATATTTCTTTACTCTCTGAAACTGTGGATCATCAACTTTCCTTTTCCATGTAAGTGTGCATAGCAGGGGTAAACAGTGGTATGGCAAGACAGTCATGCTCCTGAATTCCTTTTAAAGATTAGACAACTAGGTTCACTCTTTGCTCTTCCTTTCCTCTTCTATAACCCCTTCTTTTTTTCCCTTAGCACTCATGAATAGTACACAGCAAAAATGCCCCGTGGAAGAGGTATGTTTGTGACGATAACATGAAGCCTTTAGAAGTGTTATCCCTGCTGATTTCAGTGTTAGTGATGGTGGTGATGTGATTGTAGCAAACTTGAGTGGGCCTCTGACTTAATGAAACCATTCTTACCAGTCAGACACACCATGCAGAGCTCCAGCCTCCCTGTCAACTTGGTTTAGCTCCTGATAAAAATGTTAATGGGCCGGGTGCGGTGGCTCACGCCTGTAATCCCAGCACTTTGGGAGGCTGAGACGGGCGGATCACGAGGTCAGGAGATCAAGACCATCCTGGTTAACACGGTGAAAGCCCGTCTCTACTAAAAATACAAAAAAAAATTAGCTGTACGTAGTGGCGGGGACCTGTAGTCCCAGCTACTCGGGAGGCTGAGGCAGGAGAATAGTGTGAACCCGGGAGGTGGAGCTTGCAGTGAGCCGAGATCGCGCCACCGCACTCCAGCCTGGGCAACAGAGCAAGACTCCATCTCAAAAAAAAAAAAAAAGTTAATGGTCAGTCAAACCAGTTGATGGTATGAATATGAGGACATCCTCCAAGTAAACCCGGGGTTTTGGTTTCAGATGTTGGAGGTTTGCTTTGCCAACCCAGCAGAGGTTTACCTGTCACGGCTCCAATCCGGCCTAAATTTCATTCCCACCTTCCACTTCCACCCCTGCCTCCCCCAGTTTTGACAGCCTCCTTGTTCGGAGAGAAGCAGAAGTTAATAGGAGAGGGGAAAGATCTATGCTTCCAATCTTTTCAAATAGGAAGAATTGAACAAGTTGAGTATTACAGAGATATGAAAGCAAATGGTTAAAATAGTTTATATCTGAAACAAATTTCCTTTGTGCACGAATCTTTACAGTATAGTATTTGAAGATTTTTTTTCCCCAAAGAGATCTTTAGAATATGTTCCTTGAAAAATAGAGGTAATAGTCTCTATTACATAAAAATTGACCCCGTATGGGCCGGGCACGGTGGCTCACACCTGTAATCCCAGCACTTTGGGAGGCCGAGGCAGGTGGATCACAAGGTCAGGAGATCAAGACGATCCTGGCTAACATGGTGAAACCCCATATCTACTAAAAATACAAAACATTAGCCAGGCATGGTAGCAGTTGCCTGTGGTCCCAGCTACTCAGGAGGCTGAGGCAGGAGAATGACGTGAACCTGGGAGGCAGAGCTTGCAGTGAGCCGAGATCATGCAACTGTACTCCAGCCTGGGTGACAGCGAGACTCCGTCTCAAAAAAAAAAAAAAAAAGAAAAGAAAAGGAAAGAAAAATGACCCCATATGTGATATGTTCCAGATTATCTGATTAAGACTTGGTTTACTTTTGAAGTAAAATTTGGGAAAAAATTTTAACTATCAAGCTTAAGGACTTGAGTTTGAGAATTAAGGAAAAAGTCAGTGCTGCATATATAATAATATATGCTATAAACACGTTTATAAAAGTGATTTGAACACCTTTTACATTTATTATTATATCTTAATTTAAATAATAAAAGGCTAGTCATAGTGGCTCATCCCTGTAATCCCAGCACTTTGGGAAGCCAAGGCAGGAGGATCGCTTGAACCCAGGAGTTTGAGACCAGCAGCATGGCAGCACCTCATCTCTACAAAACATACAAAAAATTACCTGGGCATGGTGTCATGTGCCTGTAGTCCCAGCTACTTAGGAGACTGAGGCAGGAGGATCACTTGAGCCTGGGAAATTGAGGCTGCATTGAGCCCTGAACACCATGCCACTGCACTCCAGCCTGAGCAACAGAGTGAGACCCTGTCTTAAAATAAATAATAAAACAACTTAAAGGTTATAAAATTTCAAATAAGTTAGACTAAAAATGGAAATTTGACCAGTTTCATTCTACAATAGATTTATAAACAAACCTCACGAAAGCATAGTCATATAGATTGGAATAGACGTTTAAAAATGTTTTTGCCCATTGTTACTTCATGTCATCATCTTAATGCTCCAACCATGCAATTTATATTTAATAGGTGTCTTCTTTTCTCTGTTCATTCTTCAAATTATTTTCACAACTACAGAATGTTCTTTGGGGAGTTTTTGAAATCTATATATTATGCAATCTCCAATAAATAACCATAATTAACTTTATGCCAGTAAAATGATTATTTTGATTTACTTTTTTATTTAAGGATATTAAAATTCATACATTCTATATGATGTCAAGTATAAGCTTTTTCCAATTGTGTAATCTGTAAAAATTTAAACCCTTACCGAACGTACTAATTTTGTACTATACTAGTTTATTCCTTCTTCAACAGCTTCTCGGACTTCTATTCAGAGTGAACTTCATCGAGACAGAAGGTATGGTTATATTTATAATGGAAAACATATATTAGGCTAATAACTGAAATAAAAGTGTGTTATCAGGTAGCAAGTTAAATGTTTTGCTTTCATAAGCAATGTATTCTTATATTCTGCTTCATCAGTATATCTCCTGAATTAACTTATAAGTTTGAAAGATGACTTTGCTTGAGAGAATGAGTGATACAGGCTTGAAAATGTTCTTTTGAGTGTAATTATTTGCTGAAGTTGATTTTTTAAATGTTTGTTAAACAAATGCTACATGTAAAGCATTGTAACTGCTTCAGAGAAATGCTTTGTACCTCATGCTGCGTAGTAGTACTTGTTGCCTAACCAAATGGATGGATGACAGGATAGAAAATTGAATGAAAGGATAAAGAAAGAAAAAGAGGGGATAGGCACGATGAATAAAGGCTGGACGGCTTTTTGGAAAAAGGAAGGGAAAAGAGAAGGAAGAAGAGATAATATTTGGGTAGATAGAAGGGAGGACCAGTGGACAGATGGACAGTAGGATGGATGGAAGGATGGATGGACAAATAAAAGAATGGGAGAAGTGGACAAATGGCTAAATGAATGGGCAGATTTTTTTTTTTTACATTACATCATGATATTCAATCAGATAGAGAGGTTTTTATAGGTCATGGTCCCAGCTGTCAAATTTCTTACAGTATGGTATAGAATAATGAAGGACAAGGACTTTAGAGTCAGAACCAAGTTCAAATCCTGACCACCACTTTCTACCATATGACCTTGGATGACAAGCTGCTTAATCTCGCTAGCTTCTTTGTCCCATCTTTAAAATGGTGCTAATCATACCTACATCACAAGGTTGTCATAAGAATTAATGTACATACGATGCTTAACATTTATTAACTAATAACTCTTACTGTTTAGACAAAAGCTATAAGCAGAGGTTTTTAGGGAGTGCAGTTCAAATTTAATCAATGATCAGCTTGTACTGTTTCACAGTGTAGCATGAGTATGTATGTAATGCATAATTTTGATAATGACAGTGCTTTTTTGTTTCTATTTTCCATAGAGTGCTAGAGAAAGGCAGAGCAGGTATTATCATCCATATATGTCCCGTGAGAAAACTGAGTTTTCCAATCAAAACTGTTGATTGATTTGTTCAGGGTCACACAGTTGGTGTTTGTTAGGAAATCAGGTTGAAGAGAAAATGTAAACATGCTCCAGGCATAGTGCCTTACACCTTTAATCCCAACACTTTGGAAGGATTGTTTGAGGCCAGGAGTTCGAAACCAGCCTGGGCAAGATAGCGAGCCCTCATCTCTACAAAAAATTTTTAAAAATTAACCAGGCATGGTGGCATGTGCCTGTAGTCCCAGCTACTCAGGAAGCTGAGGGGAGGGGAGCTCAAGGCTGCAGTGAGCTGTGATTGCGCCACTGCAGTCCAACCTGTACAACAGAGCAAGGCCCTGTCTCTGCAAAATTAATTAATTACTTTAAACATGAGAAGGTAGAATCAGATTAAGAAAAAGATAAAAGGAGCCATGCTAAATCACTACAGCTCTCCAGTATTAAAGATTAATCATCAAATCATGTACAAAACTGACCATGAACCCAGAGACACATCCCAAAGTCTAGAAGTGAACATGTAAACCCAAAACACTTAAACATAACTGTGAACTGTAACAGAGATGAAGTAAGGCAGAAGAGGATATTCTTTTTAAATAGTAATTTTCATTTCAGAGTATACGCTTTATAATAACAGAAAACCAAGCTGGGCGTGGTGGCTCACGCCTCTAATCTCAGCACTTCGGGAGGCTGAGGTGGGCAGACTGCTTGAGGTCAGGAGTTCGAGACCAGCCTGGCCAATATGGTGAAACTCCATCTTTACTAAAAATATAAAAATTAGCCGTGTATGGTGGTGCACTTCTGTAATCCCAGCTGCTCGGGAGGCTGAGGTACGAGAATTGCTTGAACCTGACAGGTGGAGGTTGCAGGGAGCCAAGATCGAGATCACATCACTGCACTCCAGCCTGGGCAACAGAGTAAGACTCTGTCTCAAATAATAATAATAATAACAACAGAAAAACAATTCCATTTGACTGGTGGGCTTTTATACCTTATGCTACATGTCTGCCCTAAGGCTAGATAGCTCTGGATTGAAGAGATCGTATAGGCCTTACTTAGTTTTTATCAACCAAGGCAGAGCCACGTGTGCCCAGGGTCCAGCTCTAACTTTTTGAGGCCAAAGTCATAGAGGATGATTGTCATGTGCTCCCTTGAAGCCTGTCTGGGTGTACTGTCAGAGACAGCCCAGGCCGGACAGGTCATTTCTGTGACTGTGTTAGTTCTTATAACTTTTTGGGTGGTGGTGGTTTTCATGAATCTTTGGACATTTACAGATAGACAGTAGCTTGTTACCATCCTGCAAAACCTCACTGAGGCTTCTGTCCACTAGGCGCCCAGAGATCACCATTGTGGCAGCTGAGCCGCTGAGGCCAGCCTCGTGGTTTCCAGGAACCCCACCCCCAGGATTGGGATTTCCTACACCATCTGCAGCTGGCTCTTGGAGGCCTAATGAGCTGGTTCCTGCTGAGGTGAATAAACATTACATTATCTCTTTGCATTTTATTTTTTAAATGAAATTCGAAGCTAAGAACAGTGAGACTGTCAACACCTTGGCTATTGCCCTTAGATGTCTAAAATCTTCTTTCTTTACTTTTCAGCTCCCACCATCTTATGAACAAGTTATAAAAGAAATCAACCAAGTTCAAGTTAATACTACAAATAATAATAATGCTGCTGCTACTCCAAGGCACACTATTACTTCTGCAACTCAGACTGACTTTTCAGAAGTAGACAACGATCTGCCTCAAAGTAATGCAAGTAATTTGTCTTCCCTAACTCTGACCTAGTTCTAGGGAAGTAATCTGTAGGCTTCCAGCCTTTAAAATAATTTGCAATTTGTGTATAATTCATTGAGCTCTGCTGCCCAGTCAGTGTGATCACTGTGTGCTTGCTTTTTTTGGGTATGTGGTGATTATTGTAATAGATCATTCTTACAAACTGCAGCCCCAATCTCTTGTGCTTACCCTAGTTTATATCACAAAAACGTTATCTGTATAATTCATGGTGGGTATTACTGCTGATTCCATTCATTCCCACTGAGAAGTATCTTATATTTAGCAACTTATACTTGATAGGGTGCTAAGGGTGGTTGTCCTGTTAGGCTTTTTTAAAGTGTTGCACAGTGGCTCATGTGGCTCAATCCCAGCACTTTGGGAGACTAAGGTGGGTGGATTCCTTGAGCACAGGAGTTTGAGACTAGCCTGATGGCCGGGCACAGTGGCTCACGCCTGTAATGCCAGCACTTTGGGAGGCCAAGGCAGGCGGATCATCTGAGGTCGGGAGTTCGAGACCAGCCTGATCAACATGGAGAAACCCTGTCTCTACTAAAAATACAAAATTAGCTGGACATGGTGGCGCACACCTGTAATCCCTGCTACTCAGGAAGGCTGAGGCAGGAGAATCACTTGAACCCAGGAGGTGGAGGTTGAGGTGAGCCGAGATCGCACCACTGCACTCTAGCCTAGGCAACAAGAGTGAAACTCAGTCTCAAAAAAAAAAAAAAAAGAGACCAGCCTGGGCAACATGGTGAAACCCCATCTGTACAAAAAAAAAATGCAAAAATTCATTGAGTGTGGTGGGGTGTGCCTGTAGTCCCAGCTACTAGGGAAGCTGAAGTGAGTGGATCGCTTGAGCACTGGAGGGTGAGGCTGCAGTGAGCTGTGTTAGAGCCACTGTACAGCAGCCAGGGCAACAGAGCAAGACCCTGTCTCAAAAAAAAAAAAAAAAATGTGTTATATGAAGAGCACTCCTACAGGAAGCAGAATAAACATTTCCATTTTTGAATCACTTTTAACTAATTAAAGAAACCAAAATCTCTTGATATTCCAGGTATGTAATTTTAAATCTGTGTATCTTCTGTGTTTTTTTCTTATAAATTGTTAATATTACGGCTTGTTTTTATTTGTTTTGGTTTTGTTTTGGTCTCATCAGCACTACAGGCACCTCTCAAGCCTCTTCAGCCTTTCCCAACAGTCTCATCTGGCAATCTTCCAACGAATGTGGCACCTTTAATAGTCTTTGATATTTCTGAAGAACAGAATTGTCCAGAAAACCCCAGTGCTACAAGATGTCCAGTGCCAAAACCAAGATCAAAAAGCAACCTCAGACCAATACCCAGAGATTCTCACAGTAAAGAGCAAAGTCACCAGAAAATCAGCCCAGCAGCCATAGGAGAGGAGTCATCCCCAGGCCGGCCCCAGTCTCTGCTGGACAACGCTAGCACCTCAGACAGTCAGACAGTGATGAACATTATGAACACGGAACAAAGCCAAAATAGTATTGTTTCCAGAATTAAAGTGTTTGAGGGTCAGGCAAATATAGAAACCTCAGGACTGCCCAAGAAACCAGAAATTACTCCACGTTCACTTCCTCCAAAGCCTACTGTTTCCTCAGGGAAACCTTCTGTAGCTCCCAAACCAGCTGCTAGCAGAGCTTCTGGAGAGTGGGACTCTGGGACTGAGAACAGACTCAAGGTGACCTCCAAGGAAGGACTCACCCCATGCCCTCCCCTGCAAGAAGCAGGAAGCATCCCAGTAACCAAACCTGAATTGCCAAAGAAACCAAACCCTGGCCTTATACGAAGTGTTAATCCTGAGATTCCGGGAAGAGGGCCCCTGGCTGAGAGCTCTGACAGTGGGAAGAAAGTGCCAACTCCTGCCCCACGGCCTTTGCTGCTGAAGAAATCTGTTTCCTCAGAAAATCCCACTGACCCTTCAGCTCCACTGAAACCTGTCACTGTTCCTCCCCGACTCACAGGGGCATCACAAGCCAAAGCATACAAGTCACTGGGAGAAGGGCCCCCAGCCAACCCCCCAGTTCCAGTTCTGCAGAGCAAGCCCTTGGGGGACATCGATCTCATCAGCTTTGATGATGATGTTTTGCCCACCCCATCGGGGAACCTGGCTGAAGAATCTGTTGGTTCAGAGATGGTTCTAGGTAAGTGAAAAATCAGCAGTGGAAGGGAATCTAAACTCATGATAGGGTATTTTAAATGGCACTTGCTGTTTTAGTTTCTAGTACGTAAGTTACTGAGATGTGTGTATGCAAGTATGTGCACATGCATGTGTGTGTGTAGAAACAGACAGGAATGAACAGAGAGATCACAAAACACAGAGCTAAGTGGGGAATGGAGACAGGGAGGGAAGGGGAGATACAGGATGGGGATGATGGAGTCAGAAAGGAGGAGACACATGCGTCGATTACTATGATATGAGCCAGAAGTAAGCAGACTGGGGCTAGGGGCTAAACTATAATAGGTTGTGGGGCTGGCTTCCCTGACTCTTGACAGTTGGAAGTTCAGGCTTCACATTGAAAGGATCCAGAGAGGTTAGGGAATGTGTAGAAGGATGCAGAGGAGGCTTCTCATAGATGGGAAGTCATGCCCTGGCTCCAGAGGGGCTCCTCAGATGAAATGGGCCTCAGCTGGGAGTGCTGGGCGAGGGGCCAGCTCCAGGGGAGGACTCGAAAATGTACGGAATGAAGACCCAGCCACATGTTGCAAAATTGTTCCTTTAATCTTCACAGAACATCTTCCCTTGAGAGTGAAAAATTTTGTAAATAAAATACAACATTTGTAAGGTAGCTGCCAAGATCAGTACAATTAAATATCCCAGAAGGTAGAGAGTGTGTTTTCTTTCTTCTCACTGTTCCGTTGGAGAGTGTGATGGTAAAGCTTGTCTTTGATTTGTCAAACTAAGCTGCTCTACTTGTCATTGATAAGATTTATTTTACTGCTGTTTACTTATTTGCATGGAATTTGTGAATGTATAAACTTAATAGAATTTTCAAAAGGTTAACTGTCACTGTATAAATGTTTAACATGCATCAAAATAGTACAGGCTCTGTGATTTCAAAACCAAATTCTGCATAACACAGGTGTATTTAAAATGAAAGCAAACATAGCACATTATTAAATATTCATCATGCACAGAACATTGTAACTGACACACAACATTTTAGCATATAAACTAAAAGACATACGTGGCTTTTGTCCATAAAGGGTGGAAGGAAAAACATTTGAATATATTAAGCTTCTGCAGTGTACCTAATGCTCTCCTAAATACCGAGACATACATTATTTTATTTAATAATTGCAACAACCCTCTGTGAGATATCACTGCCTACATTTGCAGATGAAGACAGTGAGACTGAGAGAGATCTATGGATCACTTGCCCAGTGTCATAAAATGATTGTCCAAGTCAGGATTCAAACTTAGTGTTTTTATTCTAAGTCTAGTTTATTTTTCACTGTATAATGTTGCTACCCAATATTTTCATGAATCCTTAACCAGGCAACACTTTAAAAACTTTTCAAGTCTTTGATAACCATTTTCTTGTATAAGCCTTTTTGGTATTAACAAGATTCAGAGAAGGACAGGGATAGATAAACCCAACAGCAGGAAGCTGAAGAAATATTACCTTTTGTAGAACTTGCTAGTTTCTATGGGGATGGCAACTTGACTAATAATTGCTGAGAATTTATTTTGTATCATCTAGCAGATGATTATAGTCATCTTCAAAAAGGAAGGTCAACAATATACTTTCAACATAAATACAGTCTCATGCTTCATACTCAGCCTTTTCTGTTTCTTGATTTCTACCACTTCATTGCACAACATTTAATTATTGAGGCGTCTTTTAGCAAAGTGTGTAATTTGCTTGTGCTATCTGACTTTAACCATTGCTCTTGACTATGGAGTTATACTGAGCTGAATACTATCTTCTTTCTAAACCTGTCTTTCTTCCTATATTTTGCAACTCACTAGTGACACCATCACACACACCAGCCTTCCCTGGAGAAACCCAGAGATCATCCTTGAGTCTTCTCACTGTGTCACGCAGTGACTAGCTGTTCAGATTTGGAGTCTGCCAGGGTCTACCACATTTGTTATGTGACCTTGGGCAATTTTCTTAACCTCACAGTGCCTCTGTTTCCTCATTTGTAAGACATGATACTACTCCTCACCGAGGTTATTGCAAGGGTTAAATGTGATCATATAGGAAAGCGCTATCACGTTGTGTGAAATACGATGATCATTAAGTAGTAGTTTTATGATTGTTACTTCTCTGCCTTCACATCTAATTAGTTACCAACTCCTGCTGGTTTTACCTTCCAAATAGTTCTTGATTCTGCCTCTCCTTTTCATCCTTCCCTGTTCTGCCCCACTTTAGGCCTTTACACTCTGATGGCTGCAGTGGCCTCCAAAATTGAGCCCACTCAGACAAGCCTATCACACTCCATACTGTGGCTACCCAGGGGGAGTTTCTATACTGCACATTGGCCCTTGTTGCCTCCCTGCTTACGCCCTCCAAAGGCCTTCAGGATCACCTCTGAATGCCTTGACCTGTGGAGGGGTTTTTGTTTGCTTTTCGATTTGGGGCTTTGTGACTTTTTGGTGGTATTTTTGTAGCATTGTCATTGTAAATAAAGGTTTATGGTCCTGGGAAACCTTGCCTAATCATCCAGACACCAGGCAGAAACTGGGAGAGGAACACAGGAGAAAGAAGAGAAACTTACAAATAAGTCTTCCCTTCCCTTTCTCTTACCTCAAAATTAAAGAGAATCTAATAAAATAGCATTCATAAAATGAAGTTGCCATATTAATCTCAGGAAATAGAGATCCGAAAATATCGAAGCTATGAAAACATCGTAAAGATTAGAAAATTATTAAAGGAAAACACATAAAGCAGGCAATTTAATATTGGATTCATTTCTTGGGTAGAATGCCTTCCAGGTTAATGTAATGGAGCCCAGAAGTATTAGCAATTCTTCACACCTTTACAAATCACACCCAGCTGTCAGAAGAAGGAGAATGTTTCTGCCGGCAGCCCCATTACACAGACCAGAATAATAGTTTAGCAGCCAATTTCTGCTGTTAACAGAACTCAAGGGAAAGAAATGACAGAAAAGAAGCCAGGGATGGTGAAACTAATTGTGATGACAAGCATATTATTAGAGACAGTTAATGGGTGGAAAACTACTTTATCGTCAGTGTTTTTCTCAGTCCGGTAATGAAGACCGTGTGGGTATAGGTGTAAAGAGGCCTCTGCTTGTTCACCAGCAGGTGTGGAATACCTGGTGCTGGTGTGAGGGGGTAGAGGGAAGACAGAATAAACACTGCACATATAAGTAGACAAAAATGCCATCACTGCAAATAAAAGTAGACAAAAATGCCATTTTCTTGTCTTAGATTCAGATAGGAGATTCTTTTTGAGATGCTCCGCGTTTTTTGTGTTCTGTTTTTCTGTAGAAACAAGAGCAGTCTGTAATAGAATTATGGCAGCAAGTTCTTAACCCTTTCCAGACTACCAAACTCTGAGAATCTGAGGTAGCCTGAGAGTCTTTTCTCTGCCTTGAAAATAGTCATTAATTCAATGACTGGAGCTGTGAGGGAAAAAAAAAAAAAAAAAAAAAAAGAAAATAGCCATTAGTCATGTGTACACAATTCAAGGTACAATATCCAGAGCTTCGAGGGCCCATTTGAGCTCTAGAATTAAGGACTTCTACTATAGAATATTGGAAATAAATGTCAGTGGACTGCTTAAATAAATTATGGTACATCCATAACAATGGAGTATTGTGTGATAATTAAAAGGGAGAGAGACCTGTTATCCCCTACTTTGGACCAACCTCCAAGATATTATTAGATGAAAAATGCAAGATACAGGATACTTTTTGTGTTATTTTAGCTATTGTTTGTGTTAAATTTCAAATGCAATGTACTGTGATGTATGAAAAGGTGGTACAAAGGTTGTCCTTCTTAAATGAAGGAACTGGATAGGAGAGAACAGGGAACTTGGTTTACACTGTAAGCATTTTGATCCCTTTTGAATTTCAGACCATGTGGAGGCATTACCTTTAACAAGGTATTTAATCAATAATCTTTTTAAAATAGCTGAACATAAGCATAATTAGGCTGAAAGAAACTGGGAGAATTATCTCTTGTCGTCTTTGCCACTTCTGAAGAACTGCTTCCCCCACTGACCCTCAGATTCTGATAAGTAGAAATTTTTAAAATAACAAAACAGTGATTTATCTAAATGGTTATATTATTCAAGGTTACAAATAGAAGCTAATTGTTATGAACTAAATACGTCTAAATTGGATAAATTCAAAATGTTATATCTGCATTATTTCCTTTTAAATTAAATCCAAAAAAAGGAGTTTTTATTTTTCTAGTTGCTTTATGGAAAATTTTATGGCCATTATTGCCTTGAAAAAGCAACGAAAGAAACCAGAAGTTTCCTCTTTTGTTCTCTTATTTTTAAGTGGTTTTGTTCTGGTTTGTTTGGCAGAGGTGTTAACTCAGCTTAGTCTTGTAAATTTTTCCTTATGATTGAATTTATTTTATTGGATTTGTTTCTGTTAGAAAAGTAAAATATATTCATTGTAACAAGTCAAACAATTCAGAGATTTTGGATTTAAAAAAAAATGTAATCTCCCCACAGTAACCAGTGTGAACAAAGTATGCAGCCTTCTGTGCCTTTGGGCATGCCAAACCAAAGCTTACACATATACACATAATGGACTTTTTCCAGAAATTGTTACCATCCTATACCTGTTACTCAGCAGAGTGCTTTATTAAACAATGACATTTATCACTTCTCTTCAGGATAATAGGTCTAATTCTAATTCATTGTCTCCTTATACCCGCCTGATACCTCATAGTGTATCATAGCTGCTTCAGTATTTCCCCTGTTGATGGACATTCAGGTTGTTTCGTTTGTTTTTTATTTGGTGGGGGGGGAGGTTATTTTGTTTTGTTCCTTGTTGGGTTTTGCCACTACAAAAAATGCTGTAGTAAATACCCTCATAAGCATGTTCACTTCTGCTGAGGCTTTTATTTCTGAAGAATAAATTTCTGAAAGTGGGACTACTAGTCAAAGGTTATGAACGTTAAACATTTTAACTAGTACTAATGATCCAGTTTCTTTCCTGGTGGTGTCTGGAGTACCCCAATATGAAGTGCCAGCCTTGCTTTGTATGTTGCCCACTTATAACTTCTGTTGGAAAAAAAATAGCCCTCTTATGAAAAGACATAAAAAGTGAACTTATGTTGCTAGAGAGAAGCTTGCACACCATCATAAGATAAAAAACAGGCCTCTGGCTCCACCTTCTCATTGAAGTAATGCTGTTTATCCTCCCCACTAATCTGCACTCCTCGCATGGATCACAGCCCAGACAACATGCAGACAGAGAGGCAGATGCAGAGCTCACTGACTCAGTGAGCACAGCTGGGGGAGATCATTAAACAGACCACTCCTGCCAAACAGCCTGCGGTGATGGAACACGAAGACTTCCTTGCCTCGCTACATGGAGAAAGAATTTTTTTTTTTTTTTCCGGAGACATGTATAGTAGAATAATTACACACGATCTGAGTGCCAATTATTAAAAAACAGCTAACGGTATTGAAAATGAAAAAACGAGAGAGAGTAAGCTAGGACACTTTGAATACTTCATAAGTTATACCTATGCTACTTCAATTTAAATCCTTCAGGTTAAAACAAAAAATGATTGGACCCTTTAACACGATAGGTGAGATCTGCCCACACTGTGTGCAGGATTTGGGTCAGGATTTCCTGAGGCCATTCTTCCCACAGCAAGCACATTTTGGATGCCTCCTGTGTTCAGCCCCTCAGAGGTGCCGATTGTCCTCTTTTCTCCTTTCCCTGCCCGCCCCTACCCCCATCCATGCCCTTACTTGTGAAATGTGAGGTGTAGGTCTTATACTAGCCCAGAATTTAATTTGATTTGGGAAACAATTTAAGTCATTACATGCTCAAGATTTTCTTCCCCCTACACACCCACCCCAAAAGCATCATTAACTAAAATTTTAAACTAATAACCAACAGGTTATTGGTACCAAAAGCAGCTGTTTAAGAAATAGCACTTCAGGCCAGGCACGGTGGCTCACACCTATAATCCCAGCACTTTGAGAGGCCAAGATAGGAGGATCACTTGAGCCCAAGAGGTCCAGACCAGCCTGGACAACACAGTGAAACCTCATCTCTACATAAAATGAAAATTAGCCAGGCATGCTGGCACATTTCTGTAGTCCCACATACTCAGGAGGCTAAGGTGGGAGGATTGCTTGAGCCCAGGAGGTCAAGTCTACAATGAGCCATGATTGCACCACTGTGCTCCAGCCTGGGTGACAGAGTGAGACCGTGTCTCAAAAAAAAAAAAAAGAAAGAAAGAAATACTACTTGAAAGATAGGACACCATGAATGATTATTGGAAGAACTATTGAAATATGTAAAATCCAGTTTTTGGAAAGACAATGTCACCTGCCTCACCTACTGCACTCCTGTTTCCTTCTGCAGCCTGCTTCCCTTCTGCCCACACCTGAAGTTCCTCACCTTTTTCATTTCTGCTTTTTCATTTTTCAGTATACTTCTCACCTTCTAATATACCACGTAAATTCCTTGTCTATTACATGTATTGTTTCTTGTCTCCATCTCCCTGCTGGAATGCAAACTCCATGAAGGCAGAGTTCCGTGCTTTGTTCACTGCTATATTCCCAGTATTTAATTCATAGCAGGCACCCAGTCAATATTGAATGAACAAAAGTGCTACAAAGAAATTGATATAAAAGTGCTAAGAAATATATATAAAACTACAAAGAAATTGATATAAAAGTGCTAAGAAATTGATATAAAACTACAAAGAAATTGATATAAAATGATCCTGGGTTTGTTTTTCAAAATATTTATATAATAATGATACATGTAATATTTATAGAAAATACATGGACAGATATACCAAATTTTAGATGATAATTAATTTTAGAGAGATGAGATTACAAGAGGTTTTCTTTTTCTATTTTATATAATTCTTACTGTTTCTTACTTTTACAACAAATATTACTGTGAAGTAAAAAATGTACTATTATACTTGTTAATATATATTTGTTATAATAAAGTTAAATAATTAAGGAATTTGGTTAAATCTGAAAACAGGAGCTTTGTTGTTTTATGGGTGACATAGGTCACAGTGGAAGAAAGTTATATTATTAATATAGTAGTCTTTTTTTTAAAGTTTGATGCCATTCTTTTGATAATCTTGAGTTGGTGTTTTTAACGTAAGACTCGCCTCGCTCACTGTGAGCTGGTAAGATTCCACAGAGGAGTCATCTATTTTTTTTTCCTCAGTGGCATAATAATAATTTTAGCTAGCTTGCTTTCTGGGGACCCTTCCTAAGTGGTAGATAAGAAACTTAAACTAGGATTGTACTTTACCATCGTATTTCCCCACCCAGCACTGTTACTGGCATAAATATATGAGCAAATGGCTAGTGAGAGAGTGATGCCTCTGGCGGGGTATCTGATGGTGAGGTCGACTGAAAACTGAGTGGAAGAGAAGGCGAAGTATCAGATTGCCAAAAGGGCTTTTATTCTTAGCTCAGCCATTCATGTATCCTGCAAAGAGCTGGTCAGCAAAAGGTGCTTATTGAATTACACCTCATAACAGGCAGAATTTGAACGCTGTTCATCACAGGAGCTATGGAGTGCATAGTTTTATAGAGAGTATCTCCCCACAGGCAAGATCCATAGAACAGGTGCAGAATTACAGCATATACTCATTTCGCCTCTTGTTAAATAAAAGCAAAGACAGCCTTGTGCGATCCTGTGTGCTGAGTGGAATGTCCATTATAGAGCATTTTCTTTTGTTTTTGCTAATCTTTTTACTTGTAGATTTCCCATTTTTTAAAAAAAGTTATAGTCATTTTTCCAAACCACTAAAAAGGACATTTATGTTAAAGACTGTTTCAGTAAAAAGGTTTACAACTATGCTTTTGTTTAAAGTATTTCTCCTAAGTATATACTGTCCATTTAAAATATTGGGTTGGTGCATTACTTTTAATGGCAAAAACTGCAATTACTTAATAAATTGGTTAAGATAGAGTAATGCCGAGTCATATATTCTTGCCCCAAAATTAAATATTTGAAGGGATATGCCTTATTTTATTTCTGGGATAGAATGTTTTTCATTTTCATGTTACTGAAGTGTAGTTTTACGAAACTACTAAATCTGAGACTGCTAAGCACCTTCCCTGTGCCAGGCACAGCACTGGGTAGGATGGGGGCCCTGGGAGTAAATATTCTGGGACAGGCACAGGGGGTGTACAGGGAAAGAGTCTTTCTTCTCTGTGGCGTCTGGGAGGCTTTAGGATGTGGGAAAGATGGTCTCCTCATCTCAGTTGCCCCTCATTTTCAGGCAGACGTGTATGAAATGATTACACTCCCCTGAAAGATCAGCTTCTACATAATTCAAGATCATCCTCGATTTCTCTCATCAGAGAGGAAGAAAAGCCACATGAATTATTTACAGAACACTAAGTTATTTCCTTTTATGAGTTCCAACTTTGTTTTTGTCTCTGCAAACTGAGATTTTGTTTATCCATGAATAGTTTCCCCAGGGGCATGAAAAGTATGACTTTTAAATTATGAATGAGGTTTTTTGTTTCAGTCCATGTTAACTAAAACATGCAAAATAAAACTATGTTTTTCATTAGATCCCTTTCAGCTCCCTGCAAAAACAGAACCAATGAAAGAACGAGCAGTTCAACCAGCACCCACCAGGAAGCCCACTGTAATTCGGATTCCAGCCAAACCAGGAAAATGTAAGCACTTCTCTGCTTTCTTTATTTGCTTCTTCAAGAGCCTGGGAGAAATATATGCCAATTTATCAATGTCTGCTTTTGAAATTATGTATAATCTCTCATTCATAGTCAAAGCTATTTAAAAGCAAGTTGTTTTTTCACAATTCTTTGAAAAATTAGTTCAGTAAATTTGGATTACCTTACTCTTTCCCTTTCCCTTCCTTTCCTTTTCCCTTTTTTTTTTGGGAGTCTCACTCTGTCACCCAGGCTGGAGTGCAGTGACGCGATCTCAGCTCACTGCACCCTCTGCCTCCCGGTTTCAAGCAATTCTGTTTCAGCCTCCCGAGTAGCTGGGACTACAGGGACACACCACCACACCTGGCTAATTTTTGTATTTTTAGTAGAGACGGGGTTTCACCTCATTGGTCAGGCTGGGGATTTCATTTTTCTTTAATGTTGTCTTAAGACAGAGAATAGAGGGAGACTGAAATTTAGAACAATTAGTATATCCCATGTTAACACCTCTGGTACAAATTTGGTGGGAAAGTAATCTAAACTAATAGCAAATAAAGGTGTATATGTCTATCAGTCACAAGTATATTATTCTAATCAGCATGATCTCAAATATGGCTATGTGTGAATTCTGTGAAGAGCAGTAACCAAAAGCTTGAAATAATAGTTTATAAAAATACTTCTTAAATTGGCCAGGCACAGTGGTTCACGCCTGTAATCCCAGCACTTTGGGAGGCCAAGGCAGGCGGATCACGAGGTCAAGAGATCAAGACTATCCTGGCCAACATGGTGAAACCCTGTCTCTACTAAAAATACAAAAATTAGCTGAGCGTGGTGCTGCGCACCTGTAGTCCCAACTATTTGGGAGGCTGTGGCAGGAGAATCACTTGAACCTGGGAGGTTGCAGTGAGCCGAGATTGGGCCCACTGCATTCCAGCCTGGTGACAGAGTAAGAATCCTTCTCAAAAAAGAAAACTTCTTAAATTAGTGTAACGTTACATTTTGGTTTACTTCCTTACTTTTTTTTTTTTCCTTACTTGATTTTTTAATAGTATAACATTTGAAATTCGGTAGGAGCTTTAATAAGTACTTCAAAAAGAAATCTGATATTTATGATAATGGGAAAGCCACAAGGACCAGTACTATTTATTTTAGGCACCAGATTATTAAAAAGTGTGATTAAAAGTGTGTATTTGTATGTGTACACACACACACACAGTGGGTTCCAGAGCAGTTCATGGCACTGCTTGGAGTGATCACACAGCTTTCTCTGTGGGCCTCTAATTTCATTTATGCCTGCAATGCCTTTATATTATAGCCCACATGCATTCTTGCCTTTGTCTAACAAGAGATTCTGCCCACTTCATTCCTCCTAAAGCAGAACAAGCATCCCACTCTTTCACCTGTAGCACCCAGGATTGTACTGCAGGCATATTCCCTTTATTTTAGGAGCTTGGTTTTTCCATAAAGCACTACCCAGAAGGATCGGTCTCTTGGTTTCAGTGTCTTCTTGATGATTCTGTTACTAACTGATGGATCTCAGCCAAGTAGCAAGAAAATTGAACTGAGTTGCTATGAAGAATGTGGAGGAGAAAAAAAATCAGAGGTATCAAATTCTGGTTCTAGTTTCTTAGGAAGTTATATTTTATTTTTTAGAGGTAATATTTTAATGTTAGATTTAAAAACCAGTGGTAGCCAGGCATGGTGGCTCACACCTGTAATCCCTGCACTTTGGGAAGCTGAGGTGGGCGGATCACTGGATGAAACCCCGTCTCTATCAAAAATACGAAAAAGCCAGGCGTGGTGGCACACACCTGTAATCCCAGCTACTTGGGAGGCTGAGGCACGAGAATTGCCTGAACCCGGGAGGCGGAGGTTGCAGTGAGCCGAGATCATGCCACTGCACTCCAACCTGGGCAATAGAGCAAGAACGCCATCTCCAAAAAAAAAAAAAAAAACAGAAAAGAAAAAACTGGCAGTATGTTTCTTTTGACAGTATTATATAGCCCACAAATCAGTAAAATGATAGCTCATTGGGTTGTCTGCCTGTTTGCTATTACTTTGTTAAATATATTCTGGATTTTAACAGGTATACTAACATATAATGATGAGAAATGTTGCCTGGATTTTAAGTAATACAACTTTTACAGAAATTAGTAATAAATACAAATTTTTAAATTTATTCATCTGTTGTGTCATTGTCCCCAAGACCACCCACAGGGTTGATGATTCACTAGGAGGACTCACAGGACTCAACATATAGTTGTATTTATGGCTATTATTTATTATAGCAAAAGTATAAGAGGTACAATCAGCAAAGAGAAAAGGCAAATGTGGTGAAGTCTGGAGGAAACCAGATGCAAGCTTCCAAGAGTCTTCTCCTGGTGGAGTCAGAGGACATACGTAACTCCTCCAGCAATGAGTTGTGATGACACGTGTGAAATGTCAATCAGAGAAGCTCACTACTGATTCAGTGCCCAGGGTTTTTATTAGGGGCTGGTTATGTAGGCACTCCTAGAAATTTTGGCACATAGCAAAATTCCAGATTTCCAGGAGGAAAGCAGATGTTCAGCATAAACCACATATTCTGTTTTATCAGTTTTGAGGATGGTGAGAACTGTCCCAAAGTCCAAGTTCCTATATGCCAGTCAAGGACCAATCCTGTGGCTGGGTTTGGTGGCTCATGCCTATAATCCCAGCACTTTGGGAGGCAGAGGCAAGTGGATCACCTGAGGTCAGGAGTTCAAGAGCAGCCTGGCCAACATGGTGAAAACCCATCTCTACTAAAACTACAAAAATAAGCCCAGCATGGTAGCGTGTGCCTGGCTGATGCAGGAGACTTGCCTAAACCCGGGAGGTGGAGGTTGTAGTGAGCTGAGATCATGCCATTGCCCTCCAGCTTGGGCAACAAGAGCGAAACTCAGAAAAAGGGACCAATCTTGTAAGTAGTACTTTCTAGAGATGAAGTCTCAGGCCTGCTATGTTTACTTTTTCTGCACACTCGGAAACTGCATTAATAAGCTCTGAAATCCTGAAAAGGATATGCTGAGGAAGCAACTTTAATTATTATTTTGACAAAGCTCCAAGAACTGGTAGAAAATTGAATTCTAGGAGTTCGAGACCAGCCTGGCCAACATGGTGAAACCCCGTCTGTTCTAAAAATATAAAAATTAACCGGGCTGCAGCCATAAAAAAAGAATGATTTCATGTCCTTTGCAGGGGCATGGATGACACTGGAAGCCATCATTCTCAGCAAACTAACACAGAAACAAAACTAAACACCCCATGTTCTCACTCACAAGTGGGAGCTGAACAATGAGAACACATGGACACAGGGAGGGGAACAATATACACCGGGCCCGTTGGGGAGTTAGGGGCTAGGGGAGGGAGAGCATTAGGACACATACCTAATGCATGTGGGGCTTAAAACCTGGATGACAGGTTGATAGGTGAAGCAAACCACCATGGCATATGTATACCTATATAACAAACCTGTATGTTTAGCACATGTATCCCAGAACTTAAGGTAAAATTTTTTTAAAAAATTATTTTAAAAAATGAATAAATAAAAATAAAGGCTCAATTAAAAAAAAAAAAAATTAACCAGGCATGGTGGCACACGCCTGTAATCCCAGCTACTTAGGAGGCTGAGGCAGGAAAATCACTTGAACCCAGGAGGCAGGGGTTGCAGTGAGCCAAGATCATGCCACCACATTCCAGCCTGGGCAACAAAGCGAGACTTCGTCTAAAAAAAAAAAAGAAAGTTGAATTCTATACTGCTAAATGTAGGAGAACTGAAATGACAGAATGATTTCTAGAGAGTTATTTCTATTTATGTCAAAAATCAGTTCCTCAGAATTTTGTTAATAAACAATGCATATATTCTGTGGAGGGAAAAGAATTAAACTTTGGTGTCTGAAGAATTTGGGAAAAAGGGGATAGCTTCATGGTGCAAATGTCCTTGATCTTACTTGAACCTGTCAGCTCCTTTCCCCTGGGGCCTATTTCTTCTGACCAGGTTGTCCTTTTCCCAGATGTCTGCAAGGCTCCCTCCCTCACCAATCTTCAGATCTTTGCTCAATGCCACTTTTTCTCAGAGACCTTCCCTGACTACATTATTTAAAATTGGAAATCTCCTTCCTCCACATCCCACACATACTCACACCGGATACTCCCTGTGTTCCTCCTTCCAGTAAGCTATCTCCTTTCTGCTTTCATATTACTGGCGTATACTCTTAAATATTTGTCACAACAGTATTATATTCTAAATGATCAACTATTTCCTTGGAAGAATACGGAAACCACAGCACAGAAAATACCTTCAAGATGGTGACTGAGTTGGATGTTTTTATTATATATGTCTTAATTCCCAGAGCAGCCTTGCCTCTCACTAAGAATGTTTGCCTCGCTCTAAATCATTGTTTTCCTAGTTGCTGGCCTGGGTATTTTCCTCCCTTTGAGAATGTTTTCCTGTCTGCGGATAAAACAGAAACCTGACAAATCATCTTCTTGTTATAGGTTTTTCACATGAAATGGAAGTAGAGAGTGTACATTTATTTGAAAAAAAGAAAGAAAGAAAAGAGAGAGAATGCTTATCTGCTCATCTCCTTTTAATGCCTAAACCAAACAGTGTAAAAGGTGGCTTTAGCGTCCTTCAGTATGTTACAGTCATCCACTCTCCAGTTGTTTTTGTGCACTCATTTTAATTAACTGTCACTAATTAAATCTGGTCATCTTTGTTTCCTTCTTTTTAAAATAAGTTGGGGGTAAATTATCACTGATATGGCTGTGGTTTGGATGTAAAGGTATTGTTTAATTGAGGGCAGTTATGTTCATTAATCAGAAGCTAATGAATTAGAAAACACATTGGCCGGGCGCAGTGGCTCACGCCTGTAATCCCAGCACTTTGGGAGGCGGAGGCGGGCAGATCACGAGGTCAGGAGATCGAGACCATCCTGGTTAACACGGTGAAACCCTGTCTCTACTAAAAATACAAAAAAAATTAGCTGGGCGTAGTGGCAGGCACCTGTAGTCACAGCTTCTCCGGAGGCTAAGGCAGGAGAATGGTGTGAACCCGGGAGGCAGAGCTTGCAGTGAACTGAGATCACACCACTGCACTCTAGCCTGGGTGACAGAGCGAGACTCCATCTCAAAAAAAAAAAAAGAAAGAAAACACATTGAATTATTTTTGGATGAGAGAGTGTTGAATACATCACCTATTAAGAAGGAGCATGTCTTAACAAAATAAACATGGACTTTTAGGTTCAAAACAATGGATCTGACAATGACTAGCAGTAAGACCTTGGTTAGCGCATTTATTTTCTTAGCTTCAGTTTCTTCATCTGTAAAACAGGTAGGATATTATCTAGTGTAGCACTGTGCAATAGAACTTTTCTGCAAAGATAGAAATGTTCTTTAACTGTGCTGGTAGTCACTAGTCACAGTGGCTAGTATTTGAAATGTGGCTAGTGAAACTGAGGAACTGAAATTTTAATTTAATTTTAATTAAGATTTAAGACAATCATTAGATGTAGCTACTAGCTAGTGGACTGGACAAATCTAGCCCATAGATCTTGGTTGGTGAAATGTATGTAAATATAGAGCCTAACTTAATGCCTGTCACATAAAAGGTTCTCAACAATGCTGGCTGCTGTTGTAATTATTTAGTATTATTTTCACTCTCTATAAAACATATAGTGAAATTAACTGATGTTGACTAGCACATCAATTTTCTGAAGTTTGCTGGGAGTTCTTTCTCATTTTCTTAACTATTTGTGTGTATCTTTTATGATAGCCATTTTTCTAATAAACTAAGCAGCAATCATTTCGTTCTTTGGAATCCTAAAAACTAGAAATTATTGATGAATTACTGCTACTTTTTCCAGGTTTACATGAGGATCCACAAAGCCCACCTCCTCTCCCTGCTGAAAAACCTATTGGAAACACTTTCAGTACAATATCTGGAAAACTCAGTAATGTTGACAGAACTAGAAACTTGGTAAGTGGTCATTATAGATTGTATTAGATTGAAGACGTAGTTATGCATTAGTTTTGAATAGTCAGCTAATATCTAAATTATTTTATTACTGGTCAAATTAAAAACAAGAACCCTCTATTAGAGACCAGTCTCTAAGCCCCATGTACTTACATAATGTAGTGTTCAATATGTTAAAAGTCCCTATAGAGAGATTAGGCCAATTCATTGTACTTCACTATAAAATAATTTGTATACCAACTTAATGACACTGTCTTTTAAATGAAACTAGTAATGAGAAGGTTATTAAAATCTCTAAACACCTTCAATATTCAGGGAAATAACTTTATTCAACTTGTCGGTTTTTATTTAAAATATCCAATTAGTAACCAAAATTTAAGATAATTACCATAAGAATTTTTAAATCTGAAATTTAAGAAAAATGTATTTTTTTAATTTAAAAAATAGTGTTTTACTGTTAAGATGGGGTCAAAGATTTTTTTCAGTAAATATATATATTTTTCATTTCAACCTCAATATCCTCATACTTTTTTTTTTTTGGTCTTCCAATTTTTGTGGTTTCTTGGGGAAACAGACATGCAACAAGTAATTAGAGAAGTGATTTAAGAAAAAGAATAAAGTTGGCTGGACGCGATGGCCCTCACATGTAATTCCAGCACTTTGGGAGGCCAAGGCAGGTGGATCACCTGAGGTCAGGAGTTCGACACCAGCCTAGTTAACATGGTGAAACCTTGTTTCTACTAAAAATACAAAAATTAGCTGTACGTGGTGTCGTGTGCCTGTAATCCCAGCTACTCAGGAGGCTGAAGCAGGAGAATCGCTTGGACCCGGGAGGCAGAGGTTGCAGTGATCCAAGATCCATTGCACTCCAGCCTCGGGCGCGAGAGAGAGAGAGAGAGAGAGAGAGAGAGAGAGAGAGAGAAAGAATAATGGCTTTCAGAGGACTTTATGGGAATCCTGATTATTTCCTCTTTTTTAAATTGACAAATAATAATTGTACATATTCTTGGAGTACATAGTGATGTTTCAGTATATATACTGTATAGGGATCAGATCAGGGTAGTTAGCATATCTGTCATCTCAAACATTTTTCACCACTTCTGTTTGGAATGCTCAATATCTTCCTTCCAGTCATTTGAAGCTATATATTATTGTTAACTATAGTCATCCTATAGTGGTATAGAACACTAGAATTTATTCCTCCTGTCTGGCTGTAATTTTGTATTCTTTAACAAAGCTCCTTCTCTCTCCCTTCTTTCTACCCTTCCCAGCCTCTAGTATCCTCTGTTCTACTTTTTATTTCTATGAGATCAACTTATTTTTAGCTTCCATATATGAATGGGAAGATGCAGTGTTTAACTTTCTGTTTCTGGCTTATTTCACTTAACATAATATCCTCCGGTTCCATTTATGTTGCCACAAATGACAGGATTCCATTCTTTTTTATGACTAGATAGTATTCCATGGTGTACACATGCCACATTTTCTTTATCCATTTATCTGTTGTTGGACACCTAGGCTGATTCTGTATCTTGGCTATTGTGAGTAGTGCTACAGTAAACATGGATGTGCAGATGTCTCTTTGATGTAATTTCCTTTCCTTTGAATAAATTCTCAGTAGTGGGCTTGCTGGATCATATGGTAGTTCTATTTGTAGTTTTTTGAGGAGCTTCCATCCTGTTTTCTACAGTGATTGTACTGGGTTACATTCCCACTAATAGTGTGTAAGAATTCCCCTTTCTCTGCATTCTTGCCAGCATTTTTTTTTTATCTTTTAGATAATAGCCATCCCAACTGGGGTGAGATGATACCTCATTGCCATTTTGTTGTGAATTTCCCTGATGATTAGTGAGGTTGAGCATTTTTTAATGTATTTGTTGGCCATTTGTGTGTGTTCTTTTGAGAAATATCCAGATCATTTGCTTTTTTTTTCTCTCTTTTTTTGAGATAGGGTCTTACTCTGTCTCCTGGGCTGGAGTGCAGTGATATGATCACAGCTCACTGCAGCCTTGACCTGGGCGCAGGGGATCCTCCCACCTCAGCCTCCGAAGTAGCTGGAACTTTAGGCGCATGCCACCACACTCAGCTAATTTTTTGTGTTTTTTGTAGCGACAAGTTTTGCCACGTTGCCCAGGCCGTTCTTGGACTCCTGGATTCAAGCAGTCATCCAGCCTCCACCTCCCAAAGTTTATTTGCCCACTTTAAAATCAGATTGTTTGGGTTTTTTGCTGTTATGATGTTTGAGTTTCTTTTGTATTCTAGATACTAATCCCCTATCAGATGAGTAGTTTGCAAATATTTCTTGCCATTCTGTAGGTTGTCTTTTCATTCTTGATTTTTTCCTTTACTGTGCAAAAGATTTTTGGTTGATATAAACCCATTTGTTTATTTTTACTTTTGTTGCCTGTGTTTTTGAGGTCTTATTCATAAAACCTTTTTTAAGACCAATGTACTGAGGCGTTTTCCCAGCTTTCTTCTAGTCGTTGTATTGTTTCAGGTCTTAGATTTAGGTCTCTGAGTTGAGTCTTGTAGGGTAAGTGGGAGGGTTTAGTTTCATTCATCTGCATATGAATATCTAGTTTTCCCCAGCACCTTTATTGAAGAGACTGTGCTTTCCCCAATGACTGTCCTTGACACTTTTGTCAAAAATCAGTTGGCTGTAGATATGTGGATTAACTTTTGGATTCTCTATTCTGTTCCATTGGCCTATGTGTCTGTTATTATGCTAGGTCCATGCTGTTTTTGCTGCTACATCTTTGTGCAGTGTATTTTAAAGTTGGTAGTGTGGTGCCTCCACCTTTGTTCTTTTGGCTCAGGATTGTTTTGACTATTCAGGATCTTTTGTGGTTCCGTACAAGTTTTAGGATTTTTTTTTTCTATGTTTGTAAAGATGTAATTTGTATTTTGATAGGGATTGCATTGAATCTGTAGATTTCTTTGGGTAATATTCTCATTTTAACAGTATTAATTCTTCTAATCCATGAGCATAGAATGTCTATTTGTTTGTATCCTTTGTATCTTCCATTTTTTCATCAGTGTTTTGTAGTTTTCCTTGTAGTGGTCTTTCACTTCCTTAGTTAAATTTATTACAAAGTATTTCTTTTTGTAGCTATCGTAAATGGGATTGCTTTCTCAATTTCTTTTTTTAGCTAGTTCTTTGTCATGTATCGAAATGTTACTGATTTTTGTATATTAATTTTGTATCCTGCAACTTTACTGAAATCATTTATCAATTCTAAGACGGGTTTTTTGGTAGAGTCTTTAGGTTTTTCTAGATATGAGATCACACTTTTTTTTTTTTTTGAGATGGAGTCTCGCTCTGTCGCCTGGGCTGGAGTGCAGTGGCATGATCTCGGCTCACTGCAACCTCTACCTCCTGAGTTCAAACAGTTCTCCTGCCTCAGCCTCCCAAGTAGCTGGGACTACAGGCGTGCACCACCATGTCCAGCTAATTTTTTTTGTATTTTTATTAGAGACGGGGTTTTATCATGTTGGCTAGGCTGATCTTGAGCTCCTGACCTCAAGTGACCCATCCACCTTAGCCTGTCAGAGTTTCAGGATTACAGGCATGAGCAACCACGCTAGACCACACTCATTTTTTTTAGATGTCCATATGGCATATGATCTTTAAGGCTTGTTTTAAGAGAAATTAACTTTTAAAGTCTTTGAACCAAATTTGCAGTTCAAATTTCATAATGGTTTTACATTGTGCATTAACTATGTTTATTATACAGGCAAGCCCACCTAATCATCTGGCAAAGAAAAATTTCTTTGAAGAAGACATTAAATTAAATTAGCCAATGTCTAGTTAATGAGATTTTCCTGAAGAATGAATTAAAATTTAGTGATCACTTGTGATTTTCAAAGTAGCTGGTAATAAATTTTTATTAAATCTGGGCCAAGAAAGCCCAAAAGAGGATAGTAGGGTTCCTACCACACTAATGTTAAATAGGAAAATCCCAAATTCCCATGGAGGAAAAGTTGCCTGAGAAGGTTACTGGCTTCTACTCTGAAATAGTTATAAAAAGGAGTGAGAGGGTGATAAGTAAGTAAAACATCATTCGTTAATATCCATCATGTGTAATGTCCATCATACTTAATGGACTTCGTAAACTATAAAGCTCTATTGAAATAATATTGGGGTGCACGGTGGCTCACACCTGTAATCCCAGCACTTTGGAAGTCCAAAGTGGGTGGATCACTTGAGATCAGGAGTTTGAGATCAGTGTGGCCAACATGGTGTGAAACCTCATCTCTACTTAAAATACAAAAGCCGGGCATAGTGATGCACACCTGTAATCCCATCTACTTGGGAGGCTGAGACAGGAGAATCGTTTGAACTCAGGAGGTGGAGGTTGCAGTGGGCCGAGATTGCACCACTGCACTCTAACCTGAGCAACAGAGCAAGACTCGTCTCCAAAACAAAAAAAAGAAATAGTATTATACAAAAATGAGCCAGGTGTGGTGGCCCACACCTATAGTCCCAGCTATTATTATTCTAATAGAATAATATTCCAAAATGTTCCAAGATTATTCCATCTTGAACAAAAAGATGGAATCTGCAGAGAAAATACAAGCAAGGAAACCAACTTCACCAGAAACTAAAATGCTTGTCCAAACACATTAAAAGCCAGAGTTCAGGGATATCAGAGCTAGAGAAAAAGTACCAAAAAGCAAATGCAGAGAGCCTTCAGGTTATTTGTGGAATACCCACGAGGAGGAAGTCCCTAATCAGTTATCTTGCAAAGACTCAGCAGAACCTGGACATAAACCCAGACTTGAGCAAACACTAAGACAATGGCTCCTGCAAGAACTGTCTCCTTCTCTCAATATTTGGAGTATGTCAGATACAGAAGTGCCTTTAGGAATGTGCCTAACATCCCTAAAGAATTTGGATGTGGCCGGGTGCAGTGACTCACACCTGTAATCCCAGCACTTTGGGAAGCCAAGGCGGGCAAATCACGAGATCAGGAGATCGAGACCATCCTGGCTAACATAGTGAAACCCCATCTCTACTAAAAATACAAAAAAAATTAGCCAGGTATGGTGACGGGTGCCTGTAGTCCCAGCTACTTGGGAGGCTGAGGCAGGAGAATGGCATGAACCCGGGAGGCAGAGCTTGCAGTGAGCCGAGATTGTGCCACTGAACTCCAGCCTGGGCAACAGAGCGAGACTCCGTCTCAAAAAAAAAAGGAATTTGAATGTGCTACTCTTTTTTTCTGATTTAAAATTTTCTTACTGTTGCAAATTAAGAAATTAAAAAGATGTTTAAGATTTCCCATAAAAATACCACCACCGAGGAAAAACTACAGCTAATATTTGGTACAAAATTAGGGTCATATGCTATGCATTTATTACAGTACATCATCTGCATCTTTCCATGTCAAATTTATACATCTATTTTTTAAATTTTCTTTATCAAGGTATCTAATAATTACAGCTTTGATAAAAGCAATTAAAGTTTCTTCCTATCTGCTAGAGTTTGTTTTAATTTTAAAGGTAGCCACAGAAATAAATGCATTTTTCAAGCATCATAGCAATATTTGTCAGGAAAAATATAGGCAGCAGTGTAATTATAAGGCATGGATTATATTCTGGAATATTGCAGGGTTTATGAGCTGGTTACTTGCCTCACTACATTAACTGAACTCACTAGTGAAACCAAGTTTTAAGGGCAAGCTTAATTTGTTTTTTAAAATGGGATTTTATAACATTGAAACATGTTTAAATGATCACAGTTATTGGCAATTAATCATTTGGTATTTAAGGAAAAGGTTATAAATATTCAGTATAATTTAAAAATCATGAAAGTGAGTTTTGGCTCATTTATAAGAAGGAGGAAAACAGTCTGAAGTAGGCCAAAGATTCCCAAGCTTTAATTAAACCTCCTTTCCAAAAAAAAAAAGTGTAATTTAAAGGGTCAGCATTTTTTTTCTTATGAAGTTTTAGAGAAATATTATTTCCTGAGTGTTAGTGTTGGGGACTTAGAAAGTAGGAAAAGTGGGGGAAAAAAAAGACAGAATTAGAAGAATTTAGTGAGGGACTAGGTGTGGTGGCTCACGCCTGTAATCTCAGCACTTTGGGAGGCCAAGGCAGGTGGATCACTTGAGGTCAGGAGTTCGAGACCATCCTGGCCAACATGGTGAAACCTCATCTCTAGTAAAAATACAAAAATTAGCCAGGTCTGTGGTGCACACCTGTTGTCTCAGCCACTCGGGAGGCTGAGGCAGAAGAATCCACTTGAACTTGGGAGGCAGAGGTTGCATTGAGCTGAGATTGCATCACTGCACTCCAGCCTGGGGAACAGAGCGAGACTCTGTCTCAAAAAAAAAAAAAAAAAAAAGAATTTTGTGAAGGCTTTTTCCCCCTCCCAAAAAACAGAAATTTTGGCTTTGAGATCCTTTGGCTTCCCACTCACAGAGAATCTGAAAATATTCTGTATGTATTACCCTCATTTCCCAATCCTTAGGCTATAACATGTTCAGAAAACCTGTTTAAATGTAACAGTTTGAATCCCTTCCCCTACAGAAATCTTCCTATTAATCTCCACACTTCCAATTTCTCTCATCTACCGTTAGAATAAAACATTCCGACTGTACCTTTTACTTTTCACATTATTCTCCTTTTCCTTTTTTCTACAAAACTCTTTTACCCCATCCAGCCCCTTTGCTGGAGTGGTACAAGCACACTGCTTTCTTGGACCTTAACTATTTCTCCTCACATGCCTTCCTCTCAGACCATCCTGCAAGCTTCTTTTACGTTCCCACCTCCTTCTAGTTCAAAACCCACTGCAAATTGTTGAAACCAAAGAGTGGTGAGATAAGATCTCCCTATTCAAAGCAAAACCAACTAGTAACCACCCCACTTACTGTGTGTTTAAACTTAGGAGCAGTATGTTTCTTATGTGTGATCACGGAATGAATAAAGAGGAATGAATAAAGACCATATATATCTATCTAGATTAGATAGATAGATAGATAGATAGATAGATAGATAGATAGATAGATAGTTTTTTTTGTTTTTGTTTTTGTTTTTGTTTTGAGACGGAGTGTCGCTCTGTTGCCCAGACTGAAGTGCAGTGGCATGGTCTCGGCTCACTGCAACCTTTGCTTCCCGGGTTCATGCCATTCTCCTGCCTCAGCCTCCCGAGTAGCTGGGATTACAGGTGCCCACCACCATGCCTGGCTAATTTTTTGTATTTTTAGTAGAGATGGGGTTTCACCATGTTAGCCAGGATGGTCTTGATCTCCTGACCTCATGATCCACCCGCCTCCCAAAGTGCTGGGATTACAGGCGGAGCCACCACACCTGGCCAAGAACATATATTTTTCAATTCTCTTTAGGGCCTGCTTAAATTTTCCCTTAATATCTCGTGAATCCACTGAGTGCATGACCATACAGTGCAATTGCTCAAGCTGTGGTCCACAATGGGAGACTGGTTTCTTCCTGTCAGTATTTTGACTTGTATTAGGACATGAATAATTTAGGCAGAAGTAAGTTAATATTGTTTAATGCTGAAAACTCTTTTAAGCTACTTTCTATAACTCAACTGCATTTCTGCTGGTAGATCCAGCCAAAAGGTTGTCCAGAATTTCTCTTGACAAATTCTTGTTTCAGATTAACCTTAACTAAAAAGCATTCTCTGCTGCTTGCAGGAATCCAACCACCCGGGTCAAACAGGAGGTTTTGTGCGAGGACCCCCAAGGTTGCCACCGAGGTAAGTAAATGTGGGAAAAGTTAAGAGAAAAATTAATGACTCAGAGACCCAGCTCTCTTTTTTACCACCAAGATTGAGTGTTGTTGGCCTTGGATCTTTTTTTAGCGATGAAATAATCTCACCAGTTCACCCAGGCCCCTAATCCACAGTCTGCTTATAACGGTAGGTTGTGGGAAGCTCTGCTCCCTTTTTACACAGTTCAACTCATAGAGCATTCATTTCCTCAAATAAATGAACAAGACTCATTTCTGAACTTAAAACAGCTCCACTTCTAGAATATACATATACATATACATATACATATACATATACATATACATGCCCACTGACACCCTCCTGGTTAAGAAACTGGTTTTTGGCATTTCCAAAGGGGACTGGCTTTGTGAGCTCAAAGGTAACTGCCTTCTGAGTTCCAGAGCTGTTCAAATAAAGGGCTGTAATGCTATCAGAAGACATTATTACTATGTTGAAATTTATTTATTTATTTATTTATTGAGACGGAGTCTTGCCCTGTCTCCAGGCTGGAGTGCAGTGGCGTGATCTCAGCTCACTGCAACCTCCGCCTCCCGGGTTCAAGCGATTCTCCTGCCTCAGTCTCCCGAGTAGGCTACAGGCCTGGGACTATAAGCGTGAGCCATCATATGCAGCTAATTTTTGTATTTTTAATAGAGATGGGGTTTCATCATGTTGGCCAGGATGTTCTCGATCTGTTGACCTCGTGATCTGTCCGCTTGGGCTTCCCAAAGTGCTGGGATTGCAGGCGTGAGCCACCACGCCCGGGTGAAAATTACTTCTATCATAGAGATGAAGGAAAGGCTTTCAAAGTAATAGTTGTCCTATCCTTTCAGAACTAGCTTTCTTTATATTAATCTAAATTAGAGTTTTAATAGTAACACCTATAACGTGAATATTAGGGGATTTTGATGTTCCTTTTCTAATCACGTACAAGACCCCAGCACACATATATCATATCTTATAAGCTTTTCATCTCAGACTTTGGTGGAAAGTGCCTAGTTTCCAGAAATAGTCATGATGTGTTTAAGAGCAAATGGGACCTTAGAGAGCTCATGATAGTAAATGCTTGTTTGTCTTGAACTAATGAATCTCTAGTGCAAGATAAGAGGAAGCTGGAACATCATGGCATTTCCTCTAATAATGTAATGTTTAATGCAGCAGCAGTCGTTTGCTCAAAAATAGCATACACTGCGTGTTTCAGTAAATTGTGTTCCACTAGCAGAAAGCTGTGTGTGTGTGTGTGTGTGTGTGTGTGTGTGTGTAAGACAGGACAGAACAGAATTTAATACTGATCAAAACACTGACTCGTGGCTACTACATTGATTTTCAGACCTGTGAATGGAAAAACCATTCCAACTCAACAGCCTCCAACCAAGGTGCCCCCTGAGAGACCACCTCCCCCAAAGCTTTCTGCAACCAGAAGATCTAATAAGAAACTGCCTTTTAATCGATCCTCTTCTGACATGGATCTTCAGAAAAAACAAAGTAACTTGGCAACTGGACTCTCAAAAGCCAAGAGTCAAGTTTTTAAAAATCAAGATCTGGTGCTACCCCCTCGCCCCAAACCAGGACACCCTCTCTACAGTAAATACATGGTAAATTTAGCTTTTAAAAATGTTCATGGTCAAGAGATGTGCCCTAAAGTATATATAAGATTCATTTATTCCTTAGAAAAAGATAATGGAACAAATGTGGAATTGTCCCTTGATGCCAAGAGTGCTTTAGATGAGTAGCCATAATAAATTCTAGGTCTTGGGCACGGTGACTCATGCCTATAATCCCAGCACTTTGGGAAGCTGAGGCTGGTGCAGCAGCTCGAGGCCAAAAGTTTGAGACCAGCTGGCCAACGTGGTGAAACTCTGCCTCTACTAAAATTACAAAAAATTACCCAGGCGTGATGGCACAATCTTGTAATCCTAGCTACTCAGGAGGCTGAGGCGTGAGAATTGCTTGAGCCCGGGAGGCAGAGGTTGCAGTGAGCCAAGATCGTGCCACTGCACTCCAGCCTAGGCAACAGAGCAAGACTCTGTCTCAAAACAAACAAAACACCTAGGTCTTTAAAGCAGGGTTTCATTATTAGGAGAAATGTAGGGAAAGGGGAGAGAAAGCCGGGCAGGCCAGGCTTATAACTTGCTGCCTGGCTGGACCAAACAGAAATTCTGAAAAACCTGACCCTGTGGGTAATACTAATGGGAGAACTCTGATAGATACTATAGTTTATATCTTTTGTTTTTCCTTTCATTTTAGAGTGTCGCACTATCACCCAGGCTGGAGTGCAGTGATGCAGTCATAGTGCACTGCAGTCTCGACCTCCTGAGCTCAGGGATCCTCCTGCTTCACACTCCTGAGTAGCTGGGGCTATGGGAACATGCCTCCTCTCCAGGCTTATGGTTTATATCTTGATGTAGTTTATATCTAATAACTCCTTTTCCCATTGAGTAAATTTTAAAATGAAGTAGAAAGTTCTTACTAAGATGGAGAGTTTTTCCCTCATTTTCCCCTTTTGTAAGCCTAATAATTATCATGGTCCATTTAATAGTTACCAGTCAGAAGTTTTCATCAATAGTTGAGATACTGATTTTGTTCTCTTTTAATGTTTTTCTCATCAAATGACCTAAACTTTTGTCTGCATTTGCCACAGTTAAAAAACAGAGTTGCTGGGTGGTGGCTCATACCTGTAATCCCAGCACTTTGGGAGGCCAAGGCGGGTGGATCACTTGAGGTCAGGAGTTTGAGACCAGCCTGGCCAACATGGTGAAACCTCTGTCTCTACTAAAAATACAAAAATTAGCTGGGCGTGTTGGTACACGCCTGTAATCCCAGCTACTCTGGAGGCTGAGGCAGGAGAATCACTTGAACCCAGGAGGCAGAGGTTGCACTGAGCCGAGATTGTGCCACTGTACTCCAGCCTGGGCAACAGTGAGACTCCATCTCAAAACAAAACAAAACAAAACAACAACAACAACAAAAAGTTGATGTGTTCTCTACATTGATCAGGTTAACCTGAAAGATGTAAAACAAATAAAAATGATAAGGAGGCCAGGAGCAGTAGCTCACACCTATAATCCCAGCACTTTGGGAAGCCAACTGCTTGAACCCAGGAAGTGGAGGTTTCAGTGAGCCAAGATCATGTCACTGCACTCCAGCCTGAGTGACAGAGTGAGACTCTTTTTTAAAAAAAATAAAAAATAAAAATGATCAGGAGAGCAGGACTGCTTACACTTTTTACCAATTGAATGACAGAGTAGCTTGTAACAAGAACAGCAATTAATAATTCTATATTGTGTTACTATATTTCTATCATCGAGCCAGGAATTATTTTTTCTTTAAGCTGTTCAGAGTTTTTAAAAAATCCTCTTTAGAGAAGGGTATAGACAAATAAGAAGGAGGCAGTATATTCATATATATTAATATTCATTTAAACTGATAAAACTTTAATTGCTAAAACCCAGGAGTGTTCTTTGGGATAGATTACTTAATTAATAAATAAAAACAGTAGTTGATGTATATTTAGTACTAATTATGAGCCAGGCGCTGTTTGAAGCACTTTATGTGTATATTAAATAACTCATTTATTCCTCACACCAACGTTGTGAGGTAGATATTATTATCCTTGAACAAGTGAGAAAAATAAGAAACAGAGACATAAAGTAACATGCCCAGGGTTGCAAATCCAGTTAATTAATGGTGGGAGCAAGATTTGAGAACAGGTCAACTGGCTCTGACACCTGCTCTTAACCATCATACCAATTGTAGCCTCTACTTGATTTGGCCATTCTATGTCAAGAGCCCCTTTTCAAAGGGAATCAGATTTCACGTTTGGTTCTTGTCACGCATGTCTGTGTGAAGAGACCACCAAACAGGCTTTGTGTGAGCAACAAGGCTGTTTATTTCACCTGGGTGCAGGCAAGCTGAGTCTGAAAAAGGAGTCAGCAAAGGGAGACAGGAGTGGGGCAGTTTTATAGGATTTGGGTAGGTAGTGGAAAATTACAGTTAAAGGGGGTTGTTCTCTTGTGGGCAGGGGCAGGGGTCACAAGGTTCAGGGTAGGGAGATCAGGAGACTCATTTTCCGTGGGAGGAACATAACAAGGTTGATTGATTAGTTGGGGTGGGGCAGAAACAAATCACAATGGTGGAATGTCATCTTTTATGGTTCTTCAGTTGCTCCATACCATCTGGATGTACATGTGCAGGTCACAATGGCTTAACTTGGGCTCAGAGACCTGACAGTTCTTAGCATAGTCGTATAATGTCAATAAAGCATTTTTAAAAACTCAATACATTCAAAATGATGGTACATCTAGAGCTGAATGTCCCGTTACAAAATAATTCTTTAAATCTTTCATTTATTGCCTGCCTATAGTACCATTAAATTGCTAGCCAGGAATCTGGGTACTCTGGAAGCCCTAGGAATCTGACAAAGATGCTGGGAAACGGCACCACCAAGCCAGCGGTACAGGGCCACATCCTTGCACTGTGGATCTTTGCTCCTGGGTGACCCAAGGCCCAGGCAGCCTTCTTCCCATGTTGGATGTGAGCTTGTGTGGTTACATTTCCAGGGTATGCCTTTTATATAGTACAGACCCTCTGGTGTGCACTCATCAGCTAAAATTTTCCAAAGCAGGGAACAGAGCCCCTTGGACAAGGTCTGGTACAGATGTAAAAACCATTCTAAGATCAGACAGAGCTGAGTGGACCAGGAAGTGGCTGGGATCAGGCCATGAAATGGATTTAAGTAGACACTTGGTATCAGAGAGACTCTAGGAGAAGAAGAGCTTCAAGGTCTATGGAAACAAGCAGGCAGGCAGGCAGGCAGTACACGGAGGGCTCCAATCACTGATCAGCCTTCAGAGGCCACCACTGTAAGAACCCTGAATTAAAGAACTGGCTGTGAGGTCGAGTGCTGGGTATTTCTCCTTCAAACCTCCAGGGGACTTGGTGGATCTTATCCTGTAGAATGGAACTTCCTGGTTATGGTCATTAAGGGAATGTTAGGCCATGTTCAGCTCTTGTGGTTCTATGGGCCCAACTCCAACTCCCAAGAGCCTCTTAACATCCATGAGAAACGACAGGCCCCGTTGATCTAGAGCATGATGAAGCTGGGTGAGTTTAGCTGCTGGAGAAGGTGCTCTTTAGGCACACACATGCCAAATTCCTAAATGATCAGTAACGTAAGAGGAGGTTATTTGATTGTGAATAAGCCTTTTATTGGTTTACATTTAAGCTGTCTGTGCCTCATGGAATTGCCAATGAAGATATTGTCTCACAAAACCCTGGAGAACTCTCTTGTAAGGTAAAGTAAAGCTCTTTCTTTACTGGTTAATGTAAAAAAAAAAAAAAAATTAATCCTACTATTACACGTTATTAAATGCTTTAGGCTCCAAAGATTAAAATGTGAAAAAGTAATAATGTTTTATTAAATAATAATTGCTTCAGAGAGTGGTATTGTACCTTACAGCGTGGGGATGTACTTGTGATGCTGAAGCAGACGGAAGATAATTACTTGGAGTGCCAAAAGGGAGAAGACACTGGCAGAGTTCACCTGTCTCAAATGAAGATTATCACTCCACTTGATGAACATCTTAGAAGCAGACCACACGTAAGGGATTAATATTGTTACAGCCCTCATATCACACGTAGCAGCACATTTCATGGAACTATTAATTACATCTCATCTTCAGGTTTTTATTAGCACATTTATTGTAACCAGAGTAAAAATTACAGTAGCATTTTATTCCACTTTTAGAATAAATTACTACTAAGAGACTTGCCGCTGCCATACAAATCACTTCGATACAGAGTGACTACCCTGTGTTTTGCTTTCTTCATAATGTGCTGACTTATAACAACCAGAATACTCAGTCATTAATTTTCAACTGTAAGAGCTGTTTGTTTTTTAAGTAACGTAAACCTGTTTACCAAAGTGTCAGAGAATAGTTTTCTAGCAGACTGGAAGTCTGACACTAAAAAGCACTTCCCTTTAAGATTTAAGCTTAATATAAACCTCATTTCTCTGATTATAGCTCATAAAACAATGAAATGTAATCCAACAACCTCAAGTCCCGATTTAGTGGAACCTGGGAAGATGCAATGGTTATTGAAAGTCATTTGTTTAGCAAGAAAAATGATGTTGAACAATTTGTAGGAGTATATTTTTTAAAGAGCTTCTTAAGTTATCCAGGTAAAATTTCACTATCTGTTAACGTAGTAAATATGAAAAATAGGCCAGGCACAGTGGTTCATGCCTGTAATCCCACCACTCTGGGAGGCCAAGGCAGCAGATCACTTGAGCCCAGAAGTTCAAGACCAGCCTGGGCAACATGGCAAAACCATGTCCCTAGTAAAAATACAAAAATTAGTCTGGCATGGTGGTGCATGCCTGTAGTCTCAGCTACTCAGGAGACTGAGGTGGGAGGATCACTTGAGCCCAAGAGATCCAGGCCGCAAGTGAGCCGTGATTGTACCACTGCACTCCAGCCTGGGCCATAGAGCGAGACTCTGTCTTGAAAAAAAATACAAATAAAAAATGGAGTAAATATGAAAAATAATAGTAATCAAGTAAAATACTTGGTTTGCCATTTATCCCAGTTTTCATAATCTTTTCCAATTTTTTCTTCTTAGAAGGCAGTTTATCTTTTGAAGTTTGCTAAGAAACTGAAAAATTGTATTTGGAGAGCAGCGGAGATAGGTGTTAAGGTAGCTTCTGCTGGCATATGAAAATCCTTACTTTAACTCCCACGGGGAAAGTTCTCCTCTGACTCTTTTTGTCTGTTTTGGTACAGCATTATCCATCTGTCATAGCTGTCCTTCCTCTTTTCAGAACACACTCATGGCAACAGTGGGAGTTATACTGCCAAAAAGCTTTCCTTTGTGAAAAATAGAAGCTAAAAGCAAGTAGATTTTTTGTTTGTTTGTTTGTTTTTGTTTTTGTTTTTGAGACAAGGTCTCACTCCATTGGCAGGCTGAAATAAAGTGGTATGATCACTACAGCCTTGACCTTCCCAGCTCAAGCAATCCTCCCACCTCAGCCTCCTGAGTAGCTGGGACTACAGGCGTGCGCCACCATGCCTGGCTAATTTTAAAAATTTTTTGTAGAGACAGGGTCTCACTATGTTGTCAGGGCTAGTCTGAAACTCCTGGGCTAAGCCATCTGCCTGCATGGGCCTCCCGAAGTGTTCGGATTACAGGTATGGGTCACCATGCCCAGCCAAAAGTTAGTCTTTTATAACAGTGCAAAGTTCTTCCCACCTTAAATACCACCTTCTCATCTTTTACTATAGACTTGCAGAGAGCTGGCCTCTGATAGGCAGCTATTGGTGATAATGAAATGAATCCTCCTTTATGCTTCTGGGTTAATGGCTATTATTACATTTTTAAAAAATAAAACTTACCTATTTGAAAGCCTAGTTTTAAGGTAATATCTCTACGAATGTGTTGTACTTTCCCCCTAACTTGGCAAACAGAAAATATTGAATGAACATGACCATTTGTGGTTGAATCAGAGAGATCATGGGAACAGTGGAAGGTTGTTGCCTGGTACGTGGTTGAGACCCTAGACCTGGGTTTCAGGGAGGTGGGATTTGGTTCCCTTTCCACCTTCTTCGGTGGTTATTTAACTTCTCTAAACTTTATTTTTTTAATGTGTGAGATAACTGCCCACAGAGTTGTCTTCAGAGTTGACAGATTATATGATTTTGTGTAAAAGTCCAGAATAGATAAATCCCTAGAAACAGAAAGTAGACTACTGGTTTTCCTAGGACTGAGGGGAGGGTAAATGGGGAGTGACACCTAATTAGTAGGAGGTTTCTTTGGGGAGTGATACAAATGTTCTGCACTTGGGTTATGGTGATGGTTGGATAATTCTATGAATATCCTACAGCCATGTTCACTTTCAGTGGGTGAATTTTATCATATGTGGGTTGTATCTCAAAGATGTTTTAACAAATTCATTGAGCTGATGCATATAAGGTATTTAACACAGTGAGTAGCACATAGTGAATGAGCAGTAAATATTAGTTATTCTTAATATTACAAAACCATTTGCATTAGCAGTTACAGTCCTTTGCATTATATTATATTTGTCTACCAGATACCTACCCCAGTGGTGTGGTCTGAATTGTATGGTCCCCTTGTTGTCAACCCTGTCTAGCCTGTTCCTCTTGCCCTTCACCTGCTAGGCTGGGTTGATGAGCAGCATTGCCGGTGATATCCATACATTGAAGGCAGAGAAGGGAAAATGTGTGATCGGGAGGCACAAATTATCCCCTCCCTCCAAGGCTTGGTTTATGTTTAGGCCTCTGGTTCATTTGGAGATTTCATGTTTGTGTTTGGTGTGTGGTAGGTCTCTGACATCATTTTTTCCAAATGGATAGCCATCTAGCCTAATACCACTTATTGAATAGTAATTCCTTTTTCTCCACAGATGTAAATCAGAAGAAAATGAAAATCACACATGCACATGTGTAATACATTATGTAAATAATAATTAATTTTTTTAAGTTTTTTTTAGAGAGAGTCACTCAGTCATCCAAGTCAGAGTATAGTAGCACAGTCATAGCTCACTGCAGCCTCGAGTGCCTGGGCTCAAGAGATCTTCACACCTCTGCATCTCTAATAGCTGGAACACAGGGATGTATCACCATGCCTGGCTAATTTTTTATTTTTTTGTAGACATGGCATATCGCTGTTGTCCATGCTGAGTAATTATTAAAAGCCACTCCAGGCTGGACACGGTGGCTCACGCCTGTAATCCCAGCACTTTGGGAGGCCAAGACAGGTGGATCACCTGAACCCAGGAGTTTGAGACCAGCCTGGCCAACATGGCGAGACCCCATCTCACAAAATATACAGAAATTAGCCAGGCATGGTAGTGCACGTCTGTAGTCGCAGCTACTTGGGAGACTGAAGTGGGAGGATAACTTAAGCCCTGGAGGTCAAGGCTGCAGTGAGCTGTGATTGCGCCACTGCACTACAGCCTAGGTGACAGAGCAAGACCCTGTGTCAAAGAAAAAAAAGCCATGTCAGAACTAAAATATCTCAGAATTCATGAAATTTCCATAGTGTTCATTTATTTAGAGAAAAGCATTAAGCAGTCCATGAAAAAATGTTAGGGTCATCTTGGTAAGCCACTATAGTAAGCTACATTAGCCGTTAGAGTCTTGACTTAAGTTATATTTCAGTTTACCTAAGTTGAGAGAATGAAAGTTGTGTTTCTGCAGGGGCATTTTGGTTGAAAGAGCAGGTGAAATTTAGAAAAGATCTCAGCAAAGGTGCTGCAGGGTTGAAATGGAGTGGACCATCATTGACCGTGCACTCTGATCAGCCTGGTGCTTCATGGCCAGGGAAGGGCAGAGGTATCGAACTGTCAGGATGTCTCTAAGGGGACAAGAGTTATTAGAGGAGGTGAAGAGACAAGAAAGGGCACAAAAATCTGCCTTTATTTATTTCACAGGCTTGCCAGTGTTGAAGAGTGTTAAGTTATAACTCCAAATGATATCCTTCAGTGGGATTTGATGATGATGAGGATAAGCCTGTCTCTTCATGTAAAGAAACTAAGAATAACAATTGCTAGTCAATAAGAAGAGGTCACTCTTCAGCTTTGCCTTCTCCTCTGGCCAATCTAGGCCATTGGCTAGATGGATAGAGAATGTTAGATTATTTTTGCTAATTTATTTAGAACTACTCTTGGAATAAACCATTCGGATTAAATACAAAATGCAGACCAGGCATGGGAGGTAGCATTGCTTTCAAATTAGAAAAAGCACTTAGTTAAGGTAATAAATGAAATGGATTTTACTTTTTGTGAATTATACTTTTGTGGAAAGTCATTAGCTCCTTTCATTACAAAAGGCAAGACCATAAATCATAGAACTTTCTTCCTTTTCCCATCCTAATAAAGACACAACTTTTAAGACTCCGTCTTGATCACAGTTTTAAGGAAAAAGCTACCCTTGAAAGGGAAAGAGGTCAAAAACCACTACTTCAGGGTAGAATAGGCACTGTTTAACAGTAAACAAACAGTTCCCTTTTGTTTCACTCTCTCAGTTTAAAAAAGCAAAAACAAAACACACTGGGGGATATTTTAATTGAGATTTTCGTCCTCCCTTGGCAAGGACACATTCTTCTTCAACTTGATAATAATTCCCTTGTTGGGCTTAGCTGTGTGGTTTGCATCTTGTACTCATAATGTAATTGTGTCAAGAGGACTCTAATGAGAAAAAAGAAATTGGTCTCAAAGTGAATAACAAATCCACCATCTATCCTGCACACTTCATTCACAGCCCTGTTTTCCCCCCTAAGGATCCAAGCCACACTCAGAAGCCTGTTGACAGTGGTGCTCCTCATGCTGTCGTTCTTCATGATTTCCCAGCAGGTAAGGATGTAAATAATACAGTAGGAGAACCACAGGATCCAGGAGTAAGTCTTTCTCCCTGCCCTGGGGTTAGCCTCTCAAGGGCATCCTTCTTCATTTTCTGTGCCTGTAGAGTCCTAGACTAGAGAGGTCATCTTATCCAGGACTCCACTTCAAGAAGGGTCGATTGTACCAGCCATTCCAGAAAGCTTAGTTGTATACCCTTGCCTTTGAAGCTCCCTGAGAAAGAGAGAGAGAGAGACTTTCCCTTACAGATGAACATTGCAAATTGCCTACCAGTCACAAACTTTTTAACTCTTTCAAAATAGTGGGTACTAATTAACAATTGTACTATGACTGGGCATGGTGGCTCACACCTGTGATCCCTGCACTTTGTGAAGCCAAGGCAGATGGATCACCTGAGGTCAGGAGTTCAGACCAGTCTGACCAACATGTTGAAACCCCATCTCTATAAATACAAAAAAGCAGCAGGGTGTGGTGATGCATGCCTATAATCCCAGCAACTTGGGAGGCTGAGTCAGGAGAATCGCTTGAACCTTGGAGGCAGAGGTTGCAGTGAGCTGACGTTGTACCATTGCGCCCTGGGCAACAAGAGCAAAACCCTGTCTCAAAAAAAAAAAAAAAAAAAAGAATTGTAGTAAAGTTAATTCTAACATAATAACTGAAGTTCTTTTGTCCTCAAAGTTGTCTCAGCTGCTACTTACCTATGAGAGCAAAAAAAATTTTTTTTTTTTTGAGATGAGATCTTGCTCTGTCGCCCAGGCTGGAGTACAGTGGTGCAGTCACTGTAACCTTGAACTCCTGGACTCAAGTGATCCTCCTCCCTCAGCTTCCCCAGTAGCTAGGACTACAGGGGTGCCACTACACCTGGCTAATTTTTTTTTTTTTTTTTTTTTTTAGGGACATGGTCTCGCTATGTTGCCCAGGCTGGTCTTGAACTCCTGGCCTCAAGTGATCCTCCCACCTTAGCTTCTTAAAGTGCTGAGATAACAGGCATGAGCCACCCATGCCCACCCATAATATAAGTACTTTTGTAATAATTTTTAAAATACCCTCATACCCAAGGCTACAAATAAACTCCTGATTTACTTACAATCTCTTTTTATCCACTTGATAGGCTGATTTTTATTTTGGTATGGGTATACTTATTTGCTAAAGAGTTATAGTACTCCCTTAGTTAACATTTGAAATTAAAATGATTTGTAAGCATGATTGGGAATAATAAGAATATTATACCATGTCTATAAACTTTTTTCATTGTTCACTGTGTATTCAGCATGGGTTTGTATTGGCACAGTAGGAAACATTTGCTAACACAATAATGTTTTTATTCAACCATTTCCCATCAATCAAAGCATGGTAAATATAACTAATTTGGTCTTTAAAAAGGGAGCTCATAACAATATCCAAAAAAGAATAGCATTTTTAAGTCAATTTGATTAGTATAATATGTTCTCAGAATCGGTGGAACATAACTGCCTCAGTGGACACAACTAAATGCTACTTTGTGCCTTTATCAAATCTGCAACCAGGATAATTCATCATACATAACCATAATTTTATATTACAGAGCAAGTTGATGATTTGAACCTCACTTCTGGAGAAATTGTTTATCTTCTGGAGAAGATAGATACAGACTGGTACAGAGGGAACTGTAGAAACCAGATTGGCATATTTCCTGCCAACTATGTCAAAGTGATTGTAAGTGGGTTGTATTTGTTTTAATTTAGTCATATACTCAGTGGGTTCTATGTGACTTGCAGGTTGGAAAAAATAACTAGAAACCCAGATTCTAGTTCACCCTTTTTCATTGATTCATTTGGCATTTGGAAAACTCAAAAATAAAGATTTGGTCAACTAGATGATGGTTAATTATTAGATTATGGGGTGTTAGAACTTAATGCCTAAATGCTATCTGAAATCCTAAGGTGAAAGACCACCACAGGTCAACTGGTGAATCAGCTGTTCTTGGAGGGTTGTTAAGTACTTAAGGATATATGGTAATTCTTTGAGACATTTAGCGAACATGAATTGAATGATACTAGATTATCCTGTAGAGGTGTCCTCTGAGGTTATGGTACCACTTCTTTTCTTTGGAGTACATTTTGGTTTGGGTTTCTTTCATCTTTTCCATTCTTATTTATCTCTGTCTTTTTTTAAAAAAAAAAAAATCTATTTGGGAATACAGAGGTATTTGTATTGTAGATAGTGGTTCATTAATGGTTGTGCCCACAAAATAATTTCTAATCTGATTAGAATAATTATATTAAAGCACCAGAATTTTATATACCCTCACAGCCTAACTTGTGAAAGCATTCCTGTGTGTGAGAGCTGTGTGTAAGCCCAGATGGCTGTGAAATATGGGGATAAAATCAGACAGCCCTCACACATTTGTATCATTGGAAGAGGATGACTCCGTCCCTGATATAACTTATGATACTATGAAATATCAAAAAAATCTAGCCTAACTGCATTAACAGCTTATTTGGAAGGAAAAAGTAAACAAATTTCATTACATCACAAAATTAGAAAACAAGACTAACAGAAAATCTGAATTCTTCAAATAGAAATGAATTGAATCTCTTGGATTATGAAGGGTAGGCATTAAAAATTGTCCAGTTTATCTATGCCTTGATTCTTTGGAGAAGTTCAACTACATTCTCTAAATTAATATTAAGAATAATGTTTGTTTTAGCACTCTTCCTCATTTTCCTTCTGCCCGATGTAGCAGTACTTTAAAAAGCACAATTACCACACTGAAACCAATCACACAGAATCTGCCATATTATTAGTGTGTTATTTCTAAGCCCACAAGTTTAAAAAATTGTTTTAAAACTTCAAACCTTTAAAATTCATCAAGAAGGCACTGATTTATTTAATATAAACCTCAAGCTTTAAGTAGTTTTAGATTGCATGCATTATAGCCAAATATTTTATCGCAACCCAGCCCTTCTCTACTGAGCCTTATAAATAAGATATTACATTAAGTGCCTGGCTGGGCACAGTGGCTCATGCCTGTAATTCCAACACTTTGGGAGGCTGAGGCGGTAGGATCACTTGAGCTCAGGAGTTCAAGACCAGGCTGGGCAACATAGTGAGACCCTGTCCCCACAAAAAATTGAAAAATTAGCTGGGCATGATGTCATGTGTCTGCAACTCCAGCTACTTGGGAGGCTGAAGTGGGAGGATGGTGTGAGCATGGGAGGGCAAGGCTGTGGGGAGCCATAATCATGCCACTGCACTCCAGCCTGGGCAACAGAGTGAGACCCTGTCTCAAAAAATAAATAAAATAAAGTGCTTGCCATTTAGTAGATGTTTGCTAAATACAGATTCCTTTCTTCCTTCCCTATTCATGTTGAAGGGAGAAAATGTTCCAGTTATAAATGTGAAGAGAATCCACAAGTTGTTTGTTTTGTTTTGTTTTGTTTTTTGAGACAGTCTCGCAGTTGTCGTCTGGGCCAGGCTAGTCTCGAACTCCTGATCCACCCACCTCAGCCTCCCAAAGTGCTGGGATTACAGGCTTGAGCCACTGCACCCGGGCCAAGAATCCAGAGTTTTATTGAAATATTTTATCTTGGGGTCAGAGAAGTATTGCAGGGTTCTACCAACACTTGGAGTAGGTGTGGTAGAGCTAATGCGTGGCACTGTGAATGCCTAATGCCTGATTTCTATCTTAAGTCCTTCTCAGCTGCAGTTTTCAACCTGGAGAATATGGGATAGAGCTGGCAGGGTGTGGCAGCTCACGCCTATAATACCAGCACTTTGGGAGGCTAAGGTATGCAGATTGCTTGAGTCCAAGAGTTCAAGACCAGCCCAGGCAACAATGGTGAAACCGTCTCTGCTAAAAATACAAAAATTAGCCGGGTGTGGTGGTACATACCTGTAGTCCCAGCTACCTGGGGGAGCTAAAGCAGAAGGATCACTTGAGCCTGGGAGGTTGAGGCTGCAGTGAGTTCTGATTGTGCCGCTGCACTCCAGCCTGGGTGACAGAGTTAGACCCTGCCTCAAAAAAAAAAAAAAAAAGGGGGGGGATAAAGAAAATTCAGTCAGAATTAGAGTGATATTAATGTGGTTATTCCAGCAAATAAGAGAATTGATTGGCTACTCAAGGAAGGCTACTTCACACGTTATACTTTGTTTTAATCCAAATTCAGGATTTTGTTTTTACCAGTTAGCACCTGTAGTTCCTCTTAATCAGATTAACACCTAGCTAAACAAATCCATTTCAATCATGCACTTTCTAATTACTTAACCTTAAATTTATCTTATGAAAATCTGAAAAAAAAAAATTGTTGCCTTGATTTTGTCTTTACTAGATTGATATTCCAGAAGGAGGAAATGGGAAAAGAGAATCTGTTTCATCTCATTGTGTTAAGTAAGTTTTATTTGTGTTCTTTTGCACAAAATACAAAGGAGATAACCATCTATATCGTGAAGAATTATCAAGCTTAAAACACTCCAAGGCCAGGCATGGTGGCTCAGACCTGTATCCCAGTACTTTGGGAGGCTGAGGTGGGAGGATTGCTTGAGGCCAGAAGTTCAAGACTAGCCTGGGCCGCATAGCAAGAACCCCTCTCTATTATTTATTTATTCTTGATTTTAAAAGAAAACACTTCACATGGTGATTATTCCGATTCTCACTGTGTCTTTTTAATTACAAAGAAAACTTGTTTAAAAGGTGACAATGGGTTAAAAAAATACATCATGAACATGCTGATAGAAGCTTACCTAAGCAATTCTCCAACATCAATGCAGGACATAGGGAAAGCAGCAAAGCATAGTCTATGCCAATGCTTCCTGCAGCCTGGCCTTAGCATGAGCAGAGATAGTTTCATCATTTACTGCATTTTATTTTGGCCTTCTGGTGTTATCTACCCAGTTTTTAGAAGGTTCAAGTATTTTTGTCATGAGAAATAATTAAATCCTATAGAAATATGAATCCTACAATAACTGGTAGACATTTTGTATTTTTTTGTTTTTAAGAGGAACTAGAAGAAAATGAAGGAAGAGTTAAGTTGAGGACCTTTCCCTGAATTTATATACCCTTTTATGTGTCGTTGTAACTCCTTTGTGATTTAAAACACTGCCACAGTGCAACTTTATATTCCACTTAAATGAGCAAATTAATAGAATTCATTACCTGCTGAAGACTGTAAACTTGTCTATGAATAGGTCAGACATAAGGAGATGCTCCCAGAGGACTTTAGAAAACAAATGCAAAGGTTATCACAAATAAGAAAACTTCCGATCCACAGCAGTTGAATTCTATTTCATATTCAGTTTTTCTCTATTTTTAAGCAGCATATACTGTGTCTCAGCAGGTTGAATTTGAAGTGGGCTTTTACAGTCATTGACCCATTGATCTGACTTATATCAGAATTCTGTTAGAGCTAGAATCAACCTTTTCTCTTTAGGCAGTTGCTTCTCCTTGGCCTGTTGCTGTTGAAACTTCCTTTCTAAACCCTCAAATTTAGGGATTAGTATTGAAGCACACCTTCTAGAGACACAATTTTATCTCTGCTTTTATCTTATTTTCAGTCAAAATTGCAGATCATGTAAGGATTGTCCCAAATGTCAGAAATGAAGCCCTTTGAAAGGAGATACAAAAATCGTTTTTAAAGGCAACAGAGTTAGGTCCAAGACTGTGTTATGATATGCCAAGTTTCTGTTTTCTTTAAACCTTCTCCTAGTTTTTAAGGCCAACTCACTGATTAATTGAGCATCGACTTTGCCTAGCTGATGCCCATTGCATTCTGCCCTGATTACTAGTCAGGAAATTTGATGACTTGCCCTGAGATTCTCAGGGTTAACACTCCTCAACTCAGTGCATTTATGATTGAAAGGGTTCAGACTGGACCATGGATTGCTGTGGCCCAAAGATACAAACATATGGAGACTGGGGAGTAAGATGATCAAAAGACACAGCAGGATAAACTAACCACCCAGCTGCGTGCACTCTGTGAGTGACCTTGAGCTTTAGCCTTTTTGAGTGAATAGGTTCATATCTGTTAATTAAAAGTGTAACTTACTGTTTTTCATGGAATAATTTCAAATTAGCCTAGTATACCTTATTCCATGGTAAACCCAGAATAAATACTTATTGAAAGACTTAATGAAGGTTTTTAAGCATTTTAAAACACTCTCTAGTCTAATCCACAAAACGTGTTCTTCATTCAGAGGCTCAAGATGTGTTGCTCGGTTTGAATACATTGGAGAGCAGAAGGATGAGTTGAGTTTCTCAGAGGGAGAAATTATTATTCTTAAAGAGTACGTGAATGAGGAATGGGCCAGAGGAGAAGTTCGAGGCAGAACTGGGATTTTCCCCCTGAACTTTGTGGAGCCTGTTGAGGATTATCCCACCTCTGGTGCAAATGTTTTAAGTGAGTATAGAGAATTTTTTTTTTATTATGTCATGTCCTAATTCAAATAAACCAAATAATAGCATTATACTGAAGCTGTATAATAATCCATATTGCCATATTTTTAAGGTAGAAGGAAAACTGATTTTAAAATGAGAATTTGTGTGGGATAGACATTATTTGTGGGCATCTCTCAAAGAGCTGGTTTTGGTATTTTAGGTAATTAACAATAACTTCATATAAGAAATGGCAAAGAGGCTGGGTGTGGTGGCTTAGATCTGTAATCCCAACACTTTGAGAGGCAACAGTGGGCGGATCACCTGAGACCAGGAGTTTGAGGCTACAGTGAGCTATGACTGTACCACTGCACTCCAGCCTGGGCAACAGAGCCAGACTCTGTTTCTAATAAATAAATAAATAAATAGCAAAGACTTTTAAACAGAAATGAACTATAGACTGTTACTAATGTATGTAGACTATAAATAATTGTGCTTACTTTACAATTAACTAAACAAGCTCAGTGAGGGTAGTACAGGTTAAGGCAACATAGGCAATACATGAAGAGCCTGGTGTGGAATCCCAGACTCTTCACTCCCACCCCAACCATTTATTTTTAATACTATATGGCCCTCACATCTAATATTCTGACTTCTTGTGTTTGTTTTTTTTAATATAGGCACAAAGGTACCACTGAAAACCAAAAAAGAAGATTCTGGCTCAAACTCTCAGGTAGGCTGCTTGAACGGATGACTATAGTGACAGCCAGGTTCAAACTGGGAGGATTATTAAAATTATAATTATTAAGAGAATATAGTATGAATTAATCTTTCAATTTATACAACAAATGTTTATAATAAATTACTTAGATGGTTAATATATGTTATATAGAGAGCTCATACAAAGACATGCAAACCCTGATAGAAAATGAAAACACATGCTGGGCACAGTGGCTCATGCCTGTAATTTCAACACTTTGGGAAGGCAAGGTGGGTGGATTACCTGAAGTCAGGAGTTCGAGACCAGCCTGGCCAAGATGGTGAAACACTGTCTCTACTAAAAATACAAAAATTAACCAGGTGTGGTGGCATGCACCTGTAGTCCCAGCTACTTAGAAGGCTGAAGCAGGAGAATAGCTTGAACCCGGCGGTAGAGGTTGCAGTGAGCCGAGATAGCACCACCGCGTTCCAGCCTGGGTGACAGAGCGAGACTTTGTCTCAAAACAAAAAGAAAGAAAATGAAAAAGAGACATGATTAGAGAATTCATAAAAGAGGTACAATAAGTGGCTAATATTGAAAAAATATTTAACCTTTCTAGTAATCAAGAAAATATATAAGACAGCAATAAAATACCATTTAACCTATTCAGTTAACAAAGATTCAGTGCAGCTCAACACTAAACAAGCAATTATATGCATGTGAGTGTCAAAAAAGAGAGAAAGCACACATTATTATCACCCGAAGAAAAGGATAAAAGCCGGGCACGGTGGCTCAAGCCTGTAATCCCAGCACTTTGGGAGGCCGAGACGGGTGGATCACGAGGTCAGGAGATCGAGATCATCCTGGCTAACACGGTGAAACCCCGTCTCTAAAAAAAAATACGAAAAACTAGCTGGGCGAGGTGGCGGGCACCTGTAGTCCCAGCTACTCGGGAGGCTGAGGCAGGAGAATGGCGTAAACCCGGGAGGCGGAGCTTGCAGTCAGCCGAGATCGCGCCACTGCACTCCAGCCTGGGTGACAGAGCGAGACTCCGTCTCAAAAAAAAAAAAAAAGAAAAGAAAAGGATAAAAAATGAGAGTTTGAGTCACAAAGATGAGCATAGTGCTAATATAATAAGAAAAAATTGGAAATGACCTAAATATGACCATTATTGGGAGAATGTACTAAAGCTATGAAAAACTAGATTTATAAAGTAAAATCATTTTTTAAATGTCATGAGAGGAAACATATGGGGAAAGGGGATATAAAATTGAATATATAGCATAAAAAGATAGGAAGGAAATTATTCAAGTTATTAGTATTAAATTGCATGTAGGTAGTAAGATTATATACATGGATAGGTTTTTTTTCCCCCCCAACTTCTTTTATTTTTTTTGAGATGGAGTCTCACTCTTTTGCCTAGGCTGGAGTGCAGTGGCGTGATCTTGACTCACTGCAACCTCTGCCACCCGGGTTCAAGCGATTCTCCTGCCTCAACCTCCCGAGTAGCTGGGATTACAGGCGCCTGCCACCATGCTTCGCTAGTTTTTGTAGTTTTAGCAGAGACAGGGTTTTACCATCTTGGCCAGGCTGGTCTTGAACTCCTGACCTCGTGATCCACCCACCTCGGCCTCCCAAAGTGCTGGGATTACAGGCATGAGCCACTGAGCCCAGCCTCCTCCATTTCTTTATACATTTCTCAACTTACCAAATATTTAGGAAAAATTGTTTCATTTGTCTAATGAGAAAGAGAAAAATAATGGGTTAAAATTTTTACACTTTGTAACATGACTCCAGAAGTGCTTAAAGGTACTGGGAATGTGGTACCTTCTGTTGTTTTTTAGTTTGTTATTGTTGTTTTTGTTGTTGTTTATTTTTGGTTTTGGTTTTGGTTTGTTTGTTTGTTTGAGACAGTGTCTCACTCTGATGCATAGGCCAAGTGCAGTGGCAAGGTCTCAGCTCACTGCAACCTCTGCTTCCCAAGCTCAAGCAATCCACCTCAACCTCCTAAGTAGCTGGGATGACAGGCACACACCACCACTCCCAGCTAATTTTTGTCTTTTTTGTAGACAGGGTCTCACTTTGTTACCCAGGCTGGTCTCAAACTCCTGGGCTCAAGTGATCCATCTGCCTCAGCCTCCCAAGGTGCTAGGATTACAGGGGTGATCCACCACATCCGGCCTTCCGTTGTTTTTTTGTGACAAATTTAGAAGAGTTAAGCCTGATGGGATGATTGTGTTTGTGAAAATGTCACTTGTAATTGGCCTGTGTGTCCCCTTATCCTTTCATCCCTACCCAGTGATAAAGTGAAAGAGGAAGGAAACTGACTACAGTTCTCCAAAAGGAAATGTTCACATGGTTGTTGCCTGCATTTCTGGGGAATGATAAGTTCCATCCTTTAGGGTTGGTTACTCAGGTGCAGGAGCAAGAGGGCAAGGTTAGTGGTGTTGGTGCTTGCTTTTTGTTTTTGTTTTGTAAGCCATCAGTTATTGAGCACTTAAGATGTGCCAGGCACTGGGCTAAATGTTAGACATGCATTGTCTCATTTAATCCTCTTAGTAACCCCAAGATGAAGCTGAGCCTCAGCGAAGAGAAGCATCTTGCCCAGTGTCACGAAGTTAAGAAGTGGCAGAACTGGGTCTGGAACCCTTGCCTGGCTAGCTCCAAAGCCTTTGCCCTGGCCAGGTGCCGTGGCTCACTCCTGTAATCCCAGCTCCTTGGGAGGCTGAGGCAGGTGTATTGCTTCCGGCCAGGAGTTCAAGACCAGCCTGGCCAACATGGTGAAACCCCGTCTCTACTAAAAATACAAAAATTAGGTGGGTGTAGTGGTGCCCACCTGTAGTCCTAGCTAATCAGGAGGCTGAGGCAGGAGAATTGCTTGAATCCAGGAGGCGAAGGTTGCATTGAGCCAAGATTACTCCATTGCCCTTCAGCCTGGGCGACAGAGCGAGACTCCATTTCAGGCAAAAAAAAAAAAAAAAAAAAAAAAAAGCCTTTTCATTATCCTCTACTGTCTGCTTGAACCTCTTGAACATAGGGTTCCCATCCCAAATTGGCAGAGCTGCCTCTTCACAGAGCAAAACCTTTCTCTAATGTACCTGGGATAAAAGCGTTCTTACACTAACCCACCACATCTGGGTGTTATCCTGCCAATCTCAGAGTTAACTACACCTCATAAAATTAAAAGTGTGAATTAATGAAGTTCTGTGCTATGGAATCTAATAGTCTCTGAATCAAGTAAAGACCTGGGAATTAATAGACCCACCCATTCTGATCCTTCCTAATTTAAATAAAGAAGAGCTTCACTGATAATTACTTTATCAGAATTTTTTCATAGTGTCAAATACTATGCGTAAATATTTTATGCTTTGACCTAATTCTTTAATATAACAATATAATAGGTCATAGTAAGAAAAAAGTTTTTTGGCTGAGTGAGGTGGATCATGCTTGTAATCCCAGAACTTTGGGAGGCTGGGAGGATCACTTGAGCCAAGAGTTCAAGACCAGCCTGGGCAATATAGTGAGACCTCATCTCTGCAAAAATAAAATTAAATAGCCAGGTGTGGTGGCCGCACGTGTAGTCCCAGCTACGCAAGAGGCTGAGGAGGGGGGATTGCCTGAGCCCAGGAAGTCAAGGCTGCAGTGTGAGCTATGATTCTGTCACTGCACTCCATCCTGGGTTACTAAGTAAGAACTTGTCTCAGAAAAGAAAAGGAAAAAAGTGTTTGCTTAAGCTTTGTATATCCCTCAAAAGCAGAAAAGCCACAAATTCTATCACACTTGTCATTTAGAGTTATAACTTAAGAAAAAATTATTGGAAACTTTTATTTCTGAAACTTGATAGCAACATAAGGTATTAGGTAATTTAAAGAAGTCTTCAGGCTTTGAAATCTTAATACCCCTTAACTCTTTTCCCACACTACTCTTTAAGCTTTGTAGAACTCAATTTCAAATAAAATCTTACATTTCTGACCACACTTCTAATTGATAACAGGTTAACAGTCTTTCTGCAGAATGGTGTGAAGCTCTTCACAGTTTTACAGCAGAAACCAGTGATGACTTATCCTTCAAGAGGGGAGACCGGATCCAGATTCTGGAACGTCTAGATTCTGACTGGTGCAGGGGCAGACTGCAGGACAGGGAGGGGATCTTCCCAGCAGTGTTTGTGAGGCCCTGCCCAGGTATGACAACCACAAGACATGAGTGCTACTCCTCACGGGGTGCCTGAAACCTTCAAAACTATATACATTCCTTTCCCCTCTGGCCATGCTCAGTTTGTCTGTCTATATTTGAAAGAGTTGATACATGAAGTTATGCAAACTGCAGTCATATACTTTGTTAGAGTTACAGAAAAAAAAGATAAAAATGTCTTCGCTAAATAATGGCTAATATTCCATCTAATAAAAACAGTTTATATTCCATCTAATAAAAACAGTTTATGTAATTTTTCCCTGCTAAGAGGACATTGTTCATCTTCTTGAAAGTTAAATAAGTTCAAAATTAATTGAACATATTGTTTTTAAAAATGTTTTTTATCCCTAATATCACTACCTCTGAAGAGAAATACTGTGTTTTTAGAACGACAAGGGTTTTTTTTTTTTTTTTAATGTTAGATTTGTGTTTTAGTCCACTGTGTTTCTATATATTTAAATTTTTTATGTCTTCACAGCTGAGGCAAAAAGTATGTCGGCCATAGTACCGAAGGGGAGGAAGGCCAAAGCCTTATATGATTTCCGAGGAGAGAATGAAGATGAGCTTTCCTTCAAGGTCAGAATGTGTATCTCTTCATAACTACATAAAGCACCATAATTTTTGAAATGTTTTCCATTGAAGGATGGAGCATTTGGGTGGAATATTGATCATTACTCAAGAATGAAGAGATCTCTGACCCTAATTATAAGGGAAGACATTACAGAAAGTGAATAGTGCAAATAGGCCTGTTAATTTACAGTATCAACCAGTCATTAAGGTACTTAGAGAAAACCTTGGCTTTACACCCCCATACATCCCCAAAGTAATCCCCTGTTCCTTGGTCTTACATCATCACATCTCAGTAATATTAGGCTTTTTATTAGTAATAGATGACCGTCTACATGGCCCTCCAAGCCTGCCATTGACATGTCTTTGAAACTGATGGAGAATCAGATAGCACCTGCTACAATTTGCGCTAGTAGCATAGTAGCCTTATAAGACACTAAATTCTTGTCCACAACGGCAATGACCAGAGCTTTGGGGAAATAGTCCCAAAAGGTTGAGCTAGTTTGCGGAGGTTTTTTGTTTGTCCGTTTTTGTTTGTTTGTTTTTTTCACCAAAGAAATGCCTAATTTTTTCTTAAAGTAAAAGTAGATATTTTCTTTTCTTTTTTTTTTTTTTGAGACAGAGTCTTGCTCTGTCACCCAGGCTGGAGTGCAATGGCGTGATCTTGGCACACTGCAAGCTCCGTCTCCCAGGTTCATGCCATTCTCCTGCCTCAGCCTCCTGAGTAGCTGGAACTACAGGCGCCCGCCACCACGCCTGGCTAATTTTTTTGTATTTTCAGTAGAGACAGGATCTCACCGTGTTAGCCAGGATGGTCTCGATCTCCTGACCTCGTGATCTGCCCGTCTCGGCCTCCCAAAGTGCTGGGATTACAGGCGTGAGCCACTGCGCCTGGCCAAAAGTAGGTATTTTCATGATTCTATTTCCCTAATCCACAGCTGGACCATGGTCAGAGGAAAGTACTTTGGGAACAGTGCTAGAAGAAGGAGGGTGGTTTTAGTAGTCACTGCTGTAGAAATAGCCTGTGTCAGACAGTGGTAAATTCTCTAGCATTGAAGATATTCAGTCAGAGACAAGGATGCTATAGAAAGAATTAACATATCAAGGAATGATTGGACAAGGTGTGGTTTAAAACAGTGGACAGCCAAACAGGGTTTTCACTTGCCTACAACAAGAAGAGAAAAAGGCCGAGCACAGCGGCTCACACCTCTAATCCCAACACTTTTGGGAAGCCAAAGCAGGAGGATCACTTGAGGCCAGGAGTTAGGACTAGCCTGAATGGCCGGACGCAGTGGCTCATGCCTATAATCCCAGCACTTTGGGAGGCCGAGGTGGGCAGATCACAAGGTCAGGAGATCGACACCATCCTGGCTAACACAGTGAAACCCCGTCCCTACTAAAAATACAAAAAAAAAATTAGCCAGGCGTGGTGGCAGGCGCTTGTAGTCCCAGCTACTCGGGAGGCTGAGGCAGGAGAATGGCGTAAGTAAACCCGGGAGGAGTGAGCCGAGATCGCGCTACTGCACTCCAGCCTGGGTGACGACAGAGTGAGACTCCGTCTCAAAAAATAAAAAATAAAAAGACCAGCCTGATCAACATAGCAAGACCCTATCTCAACAAAGAAAAAGAGGAAAACAAGGCAATACCAGAATCAGGTATGTGCAGTCTTTGTTGGGGTAAGAGGTGGATACCTTGACTGAAATATGTCAGCATAAGGTTGCTAGCTTCCTATTTTGTGATGGAGTTTTACTTTATTCTGAATAATAAAATGTTATTGCATCTTTTTGTATTAAATGTCATTTCTGTTATAATATATTGTTAGCAAATAATAGATATTTTTCTTTCTTTCTTTCTTTCTTTCTTTCTTTCTTTCTTTTTTTTTTTTTTTTAGATGGAGTCTTGCTCTGTCGCCCAGGCTGGATTGCAGTGGCACGATCTCAGTCTGCCTCCTGGGTTCAAGTGATTCTTCTGCCTCAGCCTCCCAAGTAGCTGGGACTAAAGATGTGCGCCACCACACCTGACTAATTTTTGTATCTTTAGCAGAGATGGCATTTCACCATATTGGCCAGGCTGGTCTCAAACTCTTGACCTTGTGATCTGCCTGCCTCGGCCTCCCAAAGTGCTGGGATTACAGGCATGAGCAACCATGCGCGGCCTCTCTTTCTTTCTTTCTTTCCTTTCATTCCTTTCTTTCTTTCTTCTTCTTTTTTTGTTTTCTGTTTTTTTGGTTTTGTTTTGTTTTGTTTCTGAGACAGGGTCTCACTCTGTTGCCCAGGCTGAAGTGCAGTGGTGCAATCTCAGCTCACTGTACAGCCTCTGCTTCCTGGGCTCAAGCGATTGTCCAGCCTCAGCTTCCTGAGTAGCTGGGACTACAGGTGCAAGCTGCCAATGCCTGGCTAATTTTTCGTATATTTTGTAGAGACTGGGTCTCGCCCAGGCTGGTCTCAAACTCCTGAGCTCAAAGTGATCCACCCGCCCCAGCCTCCCAAAGAGCTGGGATTACAGGCATAAGCCCCCGCACCCAGCCATAAATGATAGGTATTTCTTATGCTGTAGCTATGCAAAATTAAAAATTCGTAACCTTCTATCAGCTCCCTTTTTTCCTTTAACGTCTTGATCTTTAAAATAAAATTAAAAAAAAAAAAAAAGAAGAAAACTGTTGCCTTAGTCCTTGAGAGTCAGTGGCTCGAAATGTATTCCTTTTATCTTTACATAAACTTACTGCAAGTGAAAATCTGAATTCAAATTTCTTGGATGTTATTTTGGTCTTCATTTAAACTATGTCAATAGAAATAACAGAATGCACAGTATCTTCCAGAAAACAGGTTATCTTCGTTTCATTTTACAAATGGTTGTCCATAAAATAGTTCTAGAATTGTTGTTGTTATTGTTATTAAGGGATTCTGCACTGCTTTCAGTTTTATTAAATATCCACAGAATGTTAATAGATAAAACTGATTTTTTTTTTTTTTAGAGAAAGAATCTTGCCCTGCTGCCTAGGCTGGAATACAGTCAGAGGTGCGATCTCAGCTCACTGCAACCTCTGCCTCCTGGATTCTAGCAATTCTCCTGCCTCAGCCTCTTGAGTAGCTGGGACTACAGGCATGTGCCACCATTCCCAGCTAATTTTTTGTATTTTAGTAGAGACGGGGTTTCACTGTGTTTGCTGGGCTGGTCTCAAACTCCTGAGCTCAGGCAATCCATCTGCCTCGGCCTCCCAAAGTGCCAGGATTACAGGCGTGAGCCACTGTGCCCAGTCAAAACTCATTTTTAAAAATAGTCCTAGCCTGAGCTTGCAGTGAGCTGAGATCCGGCCACTGCACCCTAGCCTGGGCGACAGAGCAAGACTCTGTCTCAAAAAAAAAAAAAGAAAAAAAAAAAATAGTCCTAGCCTGGCTGGGCACAGTGGCTCACGCCTATAATCCCAGTACTTTGGGAGGCCAAGGCAGGTGGATCACCTGAGGTCGGGAGTTCAAGACCAGCCTGTCCAACATGAAGAAACCCCGTCTCTACTAAAAAATACAAAATTAGCCAGGCGTGGTGGCTCACGCCTGTAGTCCCAGCTACTCGGGAGGCTGAGGCAGGAGAATCGCTTGAACCTGGGAGGCGGAGGTTACAGAGAGCCAAGATCGCACCATTGCACTCCAGGCTGGGCAACAAGAGCAAAACTTCGTCTCAGAAAAAAAACAAATAGTCCTAGCCCTCAGGAAACTGACATGGTATGTAGGTTTGGACCAAACCTAAAAAAATAGCTTCAGTTAACTATTAAATTATAATTTAGGAACCAGAAGGAACTTATTTATAACAAAAACTTTGAATTGCCAGAATTTTTACAGATTTTAGCAGAGCAGAGTAAATTAATAACATCTGATAGCATGTTTCCTTTCCATTTTCCATAAAGAAAACCCTTAAATCAAGCCACTTTTTTTTTTCCAGAGGGTAATGTACTAAGGCTACAAATAAATCCAGTTAGCCTGATAAAGGTATTCTTAACAGTAGCCAGAGTCATCTTGGACCACTGTAGCATCTTAAACACAGATTCTAAGAAATGTTTAGAAACCATAAAGAACAAAATAATTATGTCTTCATCTGCTGAAGGAATGGTAATTTGCACATGAGTAAGACACACAGCCCCTTTGACTAACCTGATGAAGATAAATCAGTGTCCTGAGTCAAGGTGAAGCTCTTTAAGATGGGGAAAAAAATGCAAATTTGATATTGGGGCCATGGCAAGAGAATCGCTTGAACCCGGGAGGTGGAGGTTGCAGTGAGCCGAGATCGTGCCACTGCACTCCAGTCTGGGCCACAGAGCGAGACTTTGTCTCAAAAAAAAAAAAAAAAAGATACTGGGGCCGTAGGAGGAATGTGATAAACCAAATGGCAGAGGAGAAATGCCATTATGTGCAAGAATAAATGTAAAGTGCAAAATGCTCTGGGTATTGATAAAAGGCAATTATAGTAAAAGCCTTTCTAAGTAAAAAGGACCATTGTAAAATGTGGCGGCCACATAGTCTAGTGGTTAGGAATACAAGCCCTGGAATTGCACTAGATTTGAATCCTGGTTCTACCACTAACTAGACATGTGACACTGGCAAGTTATAATCTATCTGAGTTTTGGTTTCTTTTTCACTAAAATAAGGAAATCTATAAAAATATATCTCAGCCAGGGGCAGTGGCTCACACCTGTAATCCCAGCACTTTGCGAGGCCAAGGCAGGTGGATCACAAGGTCAGGAGTTTGAGACCAGCCTGGCCAACGTGGTAAAACCCCGTCTCTACTAAAAATACAAAAAATAGCTGGACGTGGTGACGGGCCCCTGTAATCCCAGCTACTTGGGAGGCTAAGGCAGGAGAATTGTTTGAACCTGGGAGGCGGAAGTTGCAGTGAGCCTAGATTGTGCCACTGCACTCCAGCCTGGGTGACAGAGCAAGACTCTGTCTCAAAAAAAAAAAAAAAAAAAAAATCTATAAAATGAGGATAACACAATACTCATCTCTAGGACTGTGGTGGTGTTTACATAAGTTAGTTCCTGTGAAGTACACAGGATAAGACAAGGCATACAGGAAGCACATGACTCTCTCTCTCATCTCCAAGTCTTTGCCTTTATGACACCCTCAGCGAGGCCCTCCCTTGATGACCCTAATGAGTTGGCGATCCCATGCTTTCTGTCCTCTTCTGCCAGCTTATTTGCCTTTCCGTTGTAGAATGAGGGAATATTAATTGTGCCCAGAAAAGTGTCTGACACATAGTGGGTACTCAATAAATAATTGTGTGTATGTGTGTGGTAGCTAGTATTATTTGTTCAAGAGGGATTTTAGATTAGGAGTGGTGAATTTGAGAGGCACAAAATATAAGCAGGAAAATCAAAGTGCAGCAAGGGTGGCAATGGCAAAGGAATGAGATTTAAGGAACAGAGGCATACAAGCAAAGGGCATCATTAGGTATAGATCATCTTTGTCATTTAATCTCTCAACAATCAAGATAAATGAGTTATACAGAGATTATTCATGCTGCCCTAGGTAGGCCACTATTTACTATGCTTATTCTCAACAGAAACCAATAATTCTAACTCCTTTTGTCTTACAGGCTGGAGATATAATAACAGAGCTGGAATCTGTAGATGATGACTGGATGAGTGGAGAACTAATGGGAAAATCTGGAATATTTCCCAAAAACTACATACAGTTTCTACAGATCAGCTAGAGGAGAAGCTTGACTGTGTTCCTTGGCACAAGAACTCACTTGAACTATCACCTTGACTATCAGATATGTTTTTGCACTATTTTTTTTTAACTGAAAAAGAAATATCTAAGCCGTACATGGTACACTAGAATTTTCTGAAAGCAGAAAATGTCTAGATTTTGTAGATAGTTTTCATTACAATAGAAACATGCACATGGAAACCCATGAGCTAGGGTTCTACCGAGGAAAACATCTAGTGGGATTAGCAAGGCGAAGGGAAAGCATCTGGTGGCATGCATGGCAGCATGGGGAGGCTCACATGCAGAAGTTGCACGTGGACATCTGTTTTAATCAGCACAAGTGAATTAACCATGCTTCTTCATTTTTTTTACTTTAGTTTAAAAAGAGAACATTTAATAGTCTACATGCTGTAACTATCAAGACATGGTTAGCAATCTAAATTTCATTTTTGATATTCAAATTAATTCTTACAACTTGAGCATATCAACCTTATTACCAGAGCAAATCCTTCCTTCAGGTGGGAGTTTACCAACTAGTTGGAGCATTTGTAAGCACATGGTGAAATCAGCCCCTGCCCACCAAAATAATCCTTATGTTACAAAGTGATTCCCATTTGTCTAAGGATTTGAAGGGGGTCTAAATTGGATGTATCTTACTTAGTCTAAAGAACCAAAACCATCCCTGAAATGCCTTGCTAATACAACTAATCCTTCCATATATATGCCATACTTATTTTTTTCCTCAGTGTATACTTTATGTTAACAGGGTTATTACAAAGCACATTTTCTGAATCTGCAATCATTCCTTTGACAATTACTGGACCCAAAGGAAAATTCATTTTCTTTGCATTATTTCAGTAATATATAAAAACTGTGTCTTGTTATAGTAGTACATTATGAATCACATATAAAATCTTAGAATACAGAACAACTGTTAAGATGGAAAACAGTGCCAAACCTCCACAGCTCATTTCTTTGTGATATAATCAGAATGAAAAATAAGAGGACAGAAGACTGGTACTTTTTTGTTTTATTTTTTCCCTAGCTCATCCCTGCACAATTATTAGAGTAAATGAAAAACCATTTTCCTGCTTTCCATTGTTATAAATTCTAAGCTTAAGATAAAAGTGGTTCTTTACATGACTGAATCAATTACAGTTTATGGACTAGAGCCAAATAGGTTGAAGACAATCTTCCAAACAGATCAATGGAATAGAATTTCATTGGAAATGTGAAACATTTTCCCAACGATGTTCATGACCTTCTTCTGTTTTTGAGAAGAGTTTCATATGCTGGACCACATTTTAGCTTTTATTGTTTTTTTTTCCCCATTGTCCAAAAAGTTAGGCAACCAATGACCACACTTTTACATGAATACCACCTGGAGTTCTGCAAAGAAGATATTTACTTGGTCTTTGACTAAAGTTATCTCCCCATTCTGTGGTGACATTTTATTTTGGACTATGGGGACTTCTAATACGTTTTGGTAAAGAAGAGAGTATAAAGAAAATTCTTGTCAAATTTCACTCAAAAGTAATTTCATGAGAAATCAATTATTTAAAGCATTATCCAAATTAAATTATCATTTGCAGAAGACTGTACAACAGCAGGAAGGATATGGACTGGAACATGAGGTATATATCTTTGCCTTTATAATTTTAACATCTTATATTGAAGATTCTGAAAACCTATCTTTATTAGAGGAAAATCTCCATCTTAAATTTTGGCCTCTGTCAGCAGAATGATAAGTGCAATAGTTGTAAATCTACTTGACACTGTAATAAACTGAACTGAACTTTCAAAGTCCCTTTCTCATACTAGACTGAGTTTTTTGAGAATGGAGGTGGTAGAGGTGGTATATATATATGTGTGTGTGTGTGTGTGTGTGTGTATATATATATATATTTTTTTTTAGACAGGGTTTCATGTTTCATTCCCTTTGACCAGGCTGGAGTGCAATACAATCTTGGCTCACTGCAACCTCTGCCTCCTGGGCTCAAGTGATTCTCCTGCCACAGCCTCCTGAGTAGCTGGGACTACAGGCACACATCAGCGTGCCCAGCTAATTTTTGTTTTTTGTTTTTTTTTCCTTTTTGTAGAGACAGGGTTTCACCATGTTGCCCAGGCTGGTTTCAAACTCCTGGGCTCAAGCAATCTGCCTGCCTCAGCCTCCCAAAGTGCTGGTATTACTGCACCTGGCCTGTGGTATCTTATTTATCTTTGTGTCGCTAGTCCTTTGCACCATTCAGGCTCAATAAAGGTTGGTTGGTGGGTTGGGTAGGTTGGTTGGTTGGAGTGGATGGATGGATGGATGGATGCATGGATGGATGGATGGATGCATGGATGGATGGATGGATGGATGGATGGATGGATGGATGGATGGATAGATGGATGGATGGATGGATAGATGACTTTCACATACAGCGATACCATCTTGGATTCACTCAATATCTTTCCACTTTAATTTTTGACATAAATCTATACTGAAACAAAATTCACAGTTTTATGTCATTTCACTCTCATATTCTATTTTGTGCTTGCCACTCATTACCCACCCAACTGACAGGCAGCAAAAAGCTAATATATGGGCTCTCATAGGTACTTTCTTATTCTGCATATTGATTGAATTCAAGGCAGGACTGACCATGTTTAAGGAGAAGCATAATTTTTATACTCAGTGAATTTTATGGGAGAGAAATAGGAATGCATTCTGTTTCCTTTCAGGAATTTTAGGTTAAAATCTAAACCTCCTCAAACTAGAATCTCTTAATCCTTTTTCTTTGATAAGTTAAACTTAGAGAAGCCTTTCCTAGCAAGCAGACTCAGGTGAAAAAAAACCTAGAGAAGCCATTTAATATATTATTCTTATCCTTTGAACACTAAAAGCATTTTTCTTTAAAAGATGCCTTTGTTTACATGGCTGGAAGGGTAATGGAATATATCTGTTATTGTGCTCATAGAAATCACAGGTCTTGAATTCAGTCTGTAATATTCAAAATGAAAGAAAGTGCACTTATCAGAATTTATTAGTAGAACTGGCATTTGAAAAAAAATCATTTTTCTATAGGGTTGTAAATCAGTACTCCTAACAATCATTGCTTAGTTTTTACTCAGTTTCTTAAGCTTTCCTAAATATACCTAGAGAAAATAATGATGACTATATGGACTAATTATAAGGTGATATGTTCACTTTGGTATAATCATTAATGGTTTATTTCTTTTAATTAATGTAAAATGCACATGAGCCATATGATTCATGATTCAATGTCATTTTGAATACCATTGAATTAATTCTTCACAGTGAATTTTTTTTTTTTTTTTTCGAGACAGGGTCTCACTTTGTTGCCCAGGTTGGAGTGCAATGGCATGATCTTGGCTTACTGCAGCCTTAGACTCCTGGCCTCAAGTGTTCCTCCCACCTCAGCCTCCCAAGTGACTGGGACTATAGGCATGTGCCACCATATCTGGTTAACTTTTTGTTTTTCATTTTATTTTATTTTATTTTATTTTTTGAGATGGAGTCTTGCTGTGTTGCCCAGGCTGGAGATCAGTGGCACGATCTGGGCTCACTGTGACCTCTGCCTCTCAGGTTCAAGTGATTCTCCTGCCTCAGCCTCCTGAGTAGCTAGGATTACAGGCACGCACCACCGTGCCCGGCTAATTTTTTTGTATTTTTAGTAGAGACCGGGTTTCATCATGTTGGCCAGACTGATCTTGAACTCCTGACCTCAAGTGACCATCCGCCTCGGCCTCCCAAAGTGCTGTGATTACAGGTGTGAGCCATCGCATCCAGCCTAATTTTTTATTTTTTGTAAAGACGGAGTTTCACCATGTTGCCCAGGCTGATGTTGAACTCTTGGGCTCAAGCAGTCTTCTCGCCTCGGCCTCTCAAAGTGCTGGGTTTGCACCTTGCCCAGCCAACTGAATTTTTTTCAGAACAAACGTGAAGTCATTTTCTAACTTGTGCCTTTTTACTTCACTGTAATTATAGGAGGAAAAAAATAGAAAGCCTGACTCAGAACAACACCACCATCTAGGGGCCTCTCTCTTAATTGCGAGCTCATCCTGTTACACCACAGAAGAGAGCCCTTGGAGACCAGAGCTCAACTTGCAGAGGTTAAATCATTTGCCTAAGGTCACAGTTACTTGCAAAGCCTAAAGTAAAACCTGTCTCTGTGGATTTCCAATCGAGTTCTTTTTCCATTTATTATGGCAACGTGATACCTTTCTCTTTAGCAGTTAAACAAGAAGAATTGATCTGTTTCATTGGCCTGTAATGGTTGCAGCCTCTAATACTTAATGATTAGAAAGAATTACACAGTATGTATTAAAGCCTTGAAGTTTTATCCTTCAGGAAGAAAAGTCCTGTCAGCTTCTCGGTTTTATGTGGACAATTTATATTGATGTCACCTAGAAACTGAAACATGAATGGATCCACTAATGGGGATTCCTTTTTCTCTTTAATAGAAAATATTCAAATATTTAAAACATCAGATCTTGTACAGCTGTATTTTGTAGAGCTGTACCCTTGGTAACAGTAGACCAATCATAAATCTAGATTTTCATTAAAATATAACACAAAACACTGTATATTGGAGTCTAATAGATTAACCAAAGCACTATTAAGCTAACAGATTTATATTTCAGAGTCTGAGACGTATTCTGATTTTTTAAAGGAATTCTAATTATATGTACACCACGGATTGTTTATATTCAAGTACTGTAAATCAGGCAATAATTAAATATTTTTTAGGAGAAGTAATGTTTTACATTCATAATTCTGGCAGGAATATTACCTACTGGTTGTCTGTCTGTGTTTCACAAAAATTAACTGACAATACCAAAATATTGGCCTCTGGCCGGGCGCTATGACTCACACCTGTAATCCCAGCACTTTGGGAGGCCAAGGCGGGTGGATCACCTGAGGTCAGGAGTTCGAGACCAGCCTGACCAACATGCGGAAACCCTGTCTCTCCTAAAAATACAAAAATTAGCCAGGCTATGGTGACACGGGCCTGTAATCCCAGCTACTGGGGAGACTGAGGCAGGAGAATTGCGTGAACCTGGGAAATGGAAGTTGCAGTGAGCTGAGATTACACCACTGTACTACAGCCTGGGCAACAGAGACACTGTCTCAAAAAAAAAAAGTGTGTTTGTGTATACATATATGTAGGTATGTGTATATGTATGCATGTGTATATGTATATATACATGTATGTATACATGTATACACGTGTTTGTATATATACATGTACATATACGTGTGTATTATGCATACACATGCACATACATATGTATATACATATACGTGTACACAAATGTGTGTATACACATAGACATATATACGTATATATACATATACATATCAAAAAATAATACATATCAAAAAAATAATAGGGCTGGGATGGATGTTATACACTTCGAGGAATTGACATCTGCAATAATTTTTCTACCTTGACTTCTTTTTTTTTTTTTTCCTGAGGCAGAGTTTCGCCCTTGCTGCCCAGGCTGGAGTCCAATGGTGTGATCTTGGCTCACTGCAGCCTCTGTCCCCAGGTTCCAGCAACTCTTGTGCCTCAGCCTCCGGAGTAGCTAAGATTAGAGGTGCCTGCCACCACGCCCAGCTAATTTTTTGTATCTGTATTTTTATTTTTGAGATGGAGTTTCGCTCTTGTCAACCCAGGCTGGATTGCAATGGTGTGATCTTGGCTCACTGCAACCTCTGCCTCCTGGGTTCAGGCAATTCTCCTGCCTCAGCCTCCCTAGTAGCTGGGATTACAGGTGCCCACCACCATGCCCAGCTAATTTTTATAATTTTAGTAGAGACAGGATTTCACCATGTTAGTCAGGCTGGTCTCAAACTCATGACCTCAGGTGATCCACCCACCTTGGCCTCCCAAACTGCCGGAATTAAAGGCATGAGCCACCGTGCCCAGCCAATTTTTTGTATTTTTGGTAGAGATGGGGTTTCGCCATGTTGGCCAGGCTGGTCTCGATCTCCTGGCCTCAGGTGATTCACCCACCTTACCCTCCAAAAGTGCTGGGATTACAGGTGTGAGCCACTGCACCTGGCCCTACCTTGACTTCTTAAATGATCTTAGCAAATGGCAACCCATTACCCTTCATAGCTGTCACAGTTGCATTGCCTATCACAGCATTACGTCAGAGAATTAATGACTCATTAAATTGGTATGACTGGATATTTAAAGATATTAAAGATTCTTACTGAAATTTGGAGTTGTGTTAATAGGATTGTGGTTACATTTCTTTTTAAATCATTTTAGAGATACATGATGAAATATTTACATTTGATATGTTCAATTTGCTTCAAATAATTGGGGAGGAGAAATTGACAGGAACTGTGCAGTGTTAGCCATTTTACCCAACTTGTAAGCTAAAAAGTTAGTCTGTCATGGTTTCATGGATGTTAGCAGAAGACGTGTAAGACTTCTGGGCCAGGAACAAAAGACTTTATCACTCACAGCAAAAGTGAGAACCAGAGTTTCATGTTCTTACGTGTCAGTTTCCTATACCCCCCAAATCCCGAGGAGGTGATGCAAGGGCCCATTATGCAGTGAGTTGTGTGACAGGAGAAGAACACTGAGATCTACTACTTTTATAGCAAGTGGAAGCAAGCTTGCTTTTTTCCTGGGGGAGACATTACCTCATCCTTCAAGGTTGCTCACAAGGGTGCAAAAACAGCCCTGAGAAGTGGCCAGGGTAAAGAACAGTCAAGGGATTGTATTCTTGGCACACTCAGCAAGAATGTGCAGACACACTTGGGGTCTACAGTACATTGCCTCTGT